AATATGTTATTCATATCTTTGAAAATCTTCATAAAACACTTAGCAGACAAACTAGAGTTTATTTTATATACCAAGTTAGCCCCACACTGTGGCCTGAATCCTGAACCAAGGAGTAATAATTTGACAGTATTGGGAGGGTATATCAATATCAATCAGTGTTTATGTTGGGAGTAGAGTATATACCAGTATCAATCAATGTTTATGGTGGGTGGAAAGTATATATAACAGCATCAATCAATGCTAATGTTGAGTTGAGGGTATATCAGTATCAGTCACTGCTTACCGGTTTGTTAAGAGGAGGGTAATATAAATATCAATCAGTGTTTATGTTGGGTGTAGAGTGCACATCAATACCAATCAGTGTTCATGTTGGAAGTAGAGTACCGATATCAGTCAGTGTTTGTGTTGAGGGTTTATCAGTATCAGTTAGTGTTTGTGTTGAGAGGAGGGTATATCAGTATCAGCCAGTGTTTGTGTTGAGAGGAGGGTTTATCAGTATCAATCAATGTTTATGTTGAGAGGAAGTAATATACAATCGTCATGTGTCTGTACCAATCTGTTTTTATTGTAACGGGAGAGGAGAAAAATGCAGCGGACCAGACCGGGATTCGAACACGGGCCCCCTGAATCTCCAGTCAGGTGCTCTACCAACTGAGCTATCTGACCATGCACCAGCGATCGAACCCGTCTGACCGCCACATTCCTCCCTCCTTAAAGGTCTTTGGCCCCCCGAAGACACCAACCCAGGCTCTTCCCTGGCAGGTCTTTCACCTGTCACTTCCAGGGCATGGCACGGCACCAAATGTAACGGGAGATTAGAGAAAAATGCAGCGGACCAGACTGGGATTTGAACCCGGGCCCCCTGAATCTCCAGTCAGGTGCTCTACCAACTGAGCTATCTGGCCACCGGCGATCGAACCCGTCTGACCGCCACATTATGTTGAAATGTATATCAGTATCTGTCAGTGTTTATGTTGGTAGGGGAGTATATCACTATTATACAATTATGGACTCTTTTGGTGGTGAATATGGTTTGTTATATGTTCGCCTCGGTCAATATTGATATTTTTCTGGTGAATAACAAACCATATTCACCACCGAAAGAGTCCATAATTGTTTTATTATATAGTCCGGATTTAAATAAATAAGACAATGATGGCTGCATGATGATATCACTTTCATTTAAGAACTTCTGTCGTATAAAAATAAAAAAAAATGTCCAGATTACAAGTTATAGCTTCTGTGTTTTCCTTTTGCTGTTTGTAAGACATCGAAATGTTTAGAAAATATAATCCTGCGATAGGCTTGGCTACTGTTTTTCCTGCTCAGATACACAGCTGGCTCTTGCCGTTGCAACCATTGTTTACAACGTTGTTTGAGATGTTGATTGTGACGTCACAATGCCGCTACACGCGCACCAACTCTCCGGTGAATACGGCTTCAAAACCAGTGAATATGTAGTGTTATGAACTGTTTGCGTTTGTATAGATTATATAAGGACTATAAATAGACTATATAATAACAATCAATGTTCATGTTGAGAGGAGGGTATATCAGTATCGATCAATGTTCATGTTCGGAGTAGAGTATCTATCAGTATCAATCAGTTTTTATGTTTTATGTTGTGAGGAGGTATATCAGTATTGGTAGGTGTTTATGTTGGGAGTAGAGTGTTTATCAGTATCAATCAGTGTTCACATTGGAAGTAGAGTATCTATCAACATCAATCAGTGTTTATGTTGAGGGTATATCACTATTAGTCAGTGTTAATGTTGGGAGTAGAGTATATATGAGTACCAATCAGTGTTTATGTTGGGAGTAGAGTATGTATAAGCATTAATCAGTGTTTATGTTGAGAGGAGGGTATATCAGTATAAGTCAGTGTTTATGTTGGGAGTAGAGTATATATCAGTACCAATCAGTGTTTATGTTGAGAGGAGGGTATATCAGTATAAGTCAGTGTTTATGTTGGGAGTAGAGTATATATCAGTACCAATCAAGGTTTATGTTGGGAGTAGAGTATATATAAGCATCAATCAGTGTTCATGTTGAGAGGAGGGTATACATATGTCTGTACCAATCAGTGGTTATGTTGAAAGGTATATCAGTATCTGACAGTGTTTATGTTAGGAGTGTAGTATACCAGGTATATCAGTATTAATTTTTATTTATTTTTGAGAGGAGGGCATTTTATTATCAGTCAGTATTTATATCTGGAGTAGAGTATATATCAATATCAATCAGTGTTTATGTTGGCAGGGGAGTATATCAGTATCAATTAGTGTTTTGGTTGGTAGGGGAGTATATCATTATCAATCAATGTTTATGTTGGGAGGGGAATATACAGTTAAACTTCAGTATCTCAAACACTGATATCTCGATACCATGTGTAATGGTTTCGGCCGTGGATATTGGCCTGGGTAGCTCAGTCTGTAGAGCACCTGACTAGTGATACAGGGGTCCCGGGTTCGATTCCCGGTCCAGCCATACATTTTCTCCTTTCCTGTTACAGATTTGGTGCTGTTGACCACCCCTGGACTTGCAAGCGAAAGTCCTGCCAGGGGCTAATAAGAACTTAGGTTGTGTCTTCGAGGGCGAAGACAATTTAAGGAGGGAGGGATGTAATGGTTTGGGCCGTGGATATTGGCCTGGGTAGCTTAGTCAGTAGAGCATCTGACTAGTGATGCAGGGTCCCGGGTTCGATTCCTGGTCCAGCCATACATTTTCTCCTTTCCTGTTACACATGGATATGTCAAACTGATCTGGAAGTCCCAACCACTTATTCGTTATGTATCTTACCCTCAATATCTTGAATCCTCGCAAATTTTGAAGATTTTTCCGAGTCCCATCGAGTTCGAGATAACGAGGTTTGACTGTATATCAGTATGTTGGTAGGGGAGTATATCAGCATCAATCAATGTTTATGTTGAGGGGAAGGTAGATGAGTATCAATCAATGTTTATGTTGAGGGGAAGGTAGATGAGTATCAATCAATGTTTATGTTGAGGGGAAGGTAGATCAGTATCAATCAATGTTTATGTTGAGGGGAAGGTAGATCAGTATCAATCAATGTTTATGTTGAGGGGAAGGTAGATCAGCATCAATCAATGTTTATATTGGAAGTAGATTATATATCAGTATCAATTAGAGTAGTTATTTGTGATAAATAAAACAAAATAGATTATTTTCTCTATCAGGGACCACTGAACTGGTCCCTGGTTTGATTTGCTGTTAGATGTGATCTAACATTTCACGGATACAGTGGACTGGATTTGATTTCACAGTTTACATGCATCTAGTTCATGGCTTTAATTGCCAAGCGGTATACAAATTTTAAAAACCTAAGTTATAATTACCTCAGTTGCTGTTCAAGCAAATAAAGTCAGCTCCTCTGAGGATTAAACAAGATGCTGCCCAGGACATTGAAAACTTGGACTTTTCAAACATTTTTAAACAAAAAACAAATTGTCAGTACCCTAGGGAAAAGGAAGAATGCAGTAAATAAATCTCGTATTTCATAACATGTTTATCCTATTTTGTACCCTGATTATACTACATGTATTAGTAAAATGTTGATGCAATACATTGTATGTTTGTTTTTATACGCAAATAAGTCTGGCATTATAACTGAAACATGTTATAGGAGATAAGATAGTAGAGTAATGTTTGTTTCTTAGAAAAATATGCATATATGTACATGTATGCTGTGGTCAAGGTTGTTAAGAGAACTTAAAGGAAAAATCATCTGAGTAACCAGGTACTTGATCAGAATTCAGAAAAATAAGTACATGTACATGTAGTTAACTGGTCACTAAAAATCTGATGATTTGACAACATTTACCAAGAGGACAGTATATCAGTACATGTATGAATTAGTGATGCTTCAGACACTGTACTTCAATTGAGAAATCAAATTGCTCAAATACATTCCCCCTAGTTAAAGAATAGTTTCATGATTAATTTCACTACAAACATAAATCTTCAACAGCTGGATTTCATCATAGTAATTGTGGAAGAGTTATTGCCCTTTATACACTAACAAAACTTTAAAGCAATGAGAATTCCTAGCCATGGGAGAATGCATACAAAGGAAGAAAAAAAAGAATAAAAAAAGACAAGGTTCAGACAACAGTAAATAAACATTTAATCAGACTCATTAGAGAACACATAGCATTTATCTGAAACAACCAATAAATAAAATACATTTACATAATGTATCTGTATATGTAAATCACAAATCAATTTGATTTTTAAAAAATAAAATATGTATACCTTCATCACAGTTTGTCAGAGACAAACAACAATGTGAACCGTTCACTAAGTACACTGAAAATGTGGCTACACCTGTGCTAAATGCAATATACAATACTTTAAAAATAACAAAAAATTTTATTTTCAAAAAATAAAATTATACATGAGTTTTTCATATAGTATTTATACATGTATATCAGGAATACTAAAGGAACTCACATTTTCAGTTTGAGGTAATAAAATTACTGACTATATGTAGTAAGCATTAAATTTTGTAAGTTTTTTTAGTTCACTGTACTTTAATTTCCAGGGTAATTAATGCAGCTTTACAATATAAGCTGGTATGGATTAAAAATCTCATACTAGTATGCAAACTTTCAAGAAAAACAGCAATAATCTACATATAACTGTTCACCACTTGAATTACATGCCTATTCCATTGTCTTATACAATTTCATGTAAATATTCAACATTTCTCTGCATTATCTGTACTTTGGAGTCAATAACAAGAGCGAATGTGAAGCAGGTGCGAAATGCACCTTCTGGTAGTGATCTGTGCAATATAATACCAAAACTGTAGTGATCCGTGCAATATAATACCAAAACTGTTGTGAAAATGCACTGAAATTATGTTTACAAGAATTCAATACCCATATTGACTATGTACATATGTATAATATATAAACAATGAAACATAAAGTATGAAATCACTCACAATACCTTGAGTATTCTTACTATCAGATCAATTATATTTAGTTAATGTGAATCCTAATATAAGAGGAGGTTGTATTAATCTAATAAAAAAACAAAATTCAGAGGATTAAAAAAAACTGATATGAAACAAGTGAAATCAGATCTAGAATAACTGAGGTGGGTGAATACTAGTAATCTAATAAATATCAAAGGATATGATACCATATAACAGGAACTATTCATGATCATCAAATTTTGGCATAATTAGAAATGGTCTTGGCAATGGTAAAAATAAATCTAGCTAATAATTCATTCATAAATATTGTCCGAGATAATAAATAAATTTATCTTGTAAATTGTTAAAAATTCTTATTCACCATGATAAAAACCTATAGTCCCCTCCAGTTTCACCGGTAGGGGACTAATAATAAATGCCCAATTTTAGGATAAAATCACTAAATTTGAATGTCACTAAAATACCTTGTTATATGGTATATCTATTTTCCTGACATTTATTAACATCATCCTTTCATTTACTTCTCTGAACATGTAACCCTTTAAAAATAAATACAGTGTGGCTGTGTCAGAAAAAAAATTTAAAATACAATTAGGCAATATATCATTTTTAAAAATATAAATTGACATGCCATCATGCTTATTAAGTATAAGATTGTAATATATATGGGTGTGTGTGTACAAATTAATAAACAAAAATTCACTAACCAAAAAATGTTAGCTGGACTTTTAAAATAATTAAGGTATATGTAACTATAAAAACCTTTATATCCATGAACAGAAATAAAACCTCATTTAAAAGAGATTATGAAAGTTTATGACTAGAAACATCATTCACTAGCATCTCTTAAACTTCCAACTTCCTAAAGTAAATTAGCAACTATTTTAATTTGAACTGTATGCAATCAAAACATTCTGAAATACCAAAAGAAAAACAAACATTAATGATCCACAAAGAAAGTGACACAGACAAAAGTCAACATTGCACTTGTACACAAGGCTCAGGATGAATGTTACTAACAACACAGACTCTTAACAGAAGACATGAACTGAAAGGGAGATAATTACGTTGGGAGAACCTTATTGTTATTAACTAATGTTCGTGCCAGGGCCACATTTCGTGCAGTCTGGAGCCCAAGCTTTGGAGGACGGTCAGATCCCTCTACAATGTCCTTCACCTTGAAAGACAAAAAAAAAGAAAGAAAAAATTAATTTTCAAAGAGTATAATTTAATTGTACTAAAACAAAGTATAGTGGAGATTTTGACGTCTTACAAGAGAACAAGTGATACATGTACAAGATCCTTTGACTTTAAACCTGTGTAAAGCTTTATATTGGCCATAAATGCAATCTCATGTATTCTCTATCTGATATTTTACAAAAGTATGTCCAAGATTAAAGTTGTGTACAAATAGATAAGAAAAAAAAGGCCCAAGGACCTTAACGGTCACCTGTGTGTAATGTAACAATCCATAGACTAAAACAAAATAAGCTGATAAATGAAGCTATGTTGCCTAAAAGCAAGAAAAATAGGATTATCAGGGGTCAGCAAAATATTAATCTAGTACTTCTGTATCCCTCCCCTCCAAATTTGTCACTATCTTCATGCGGACTAAACAAAATAGGTCTAGAGCACTATTAGTTAACACATTTCATTCCCCCTCACATTGGCCTCTCTTATTGTTTGAAGATTATTTAATGTACAAAGATACAATATTTTTGTCCCATTTTCATTTATCTATTATTTAAAATCCTACCTGACCATTAAAAACTATGAATGTACTTTTTGTATTAAATATTATAAATTTTGTTTTTCAATAGACCTTTTAAGTTACATTATTTAGTACAGTGATTAACTATCATATAGGCGAATAGCATAGGGAATAACTTCAATAAAAAAAACAACAACAAAATCTGGTAAAAACACCCTTGCTTATTACAACTTTATATACTTTGTCTCCTACATGCCCAGGAGCAGAGAAGAAGATTTTTAAAGGAACAATCCATTTTAACTATAGATTCAATATAGCCCTACCCTAATACCAGAGCCCCTTACCCAGGGTCAAGATATTCACAATTTTGGAAGAGGCAGTTTTGCTGATCATAACCATGCACTTTGTATGTCTGGTTAATAAAAATAGGCAGAGAAGAAAATTTCAATTTGAGAAATAAAGCACTTTCACTTTATACTGGTAATCAATATAGACCCCTGAGTGACTCAGGTGACCTAAGAATGTAAAATCAGCCCAAGACAGTGTGTCCTGATCTCAGAAATGTTAGTATCACAGTGCCTTTTGGAACAGTTATAATGTACTGCTGACAGTTTTATCAAGCATTTAAGTTGCATTTCCAGGGTCATGAAAATCCATCTTGTCATTTTTTTTAAATTTGCTTTTACTAAGGTATATTTTACATTTGAATTTTTGTTGTTACCTTGAAGATGGGCACTGCAAGTATTCATAATAATGACTTACCTTAAGTTAATGGTATTAATAATAATGGCCTACCTTACAGGTATTTATAATAATGGCCTACCTTGCAGGTATTTATAATAATGGCTCCTTTGTCTTGGAGTGATTTCTTCATGTCTTCTATGTGCTGCACATCCACACCACGACAAGCATCATCCAGAGCAATCACCCTAAATCCATGGTCCACTGCATCTAACCCTGTAAAACCTGAACAAAAGACACCCCCAATAAACATATATATAAAAGATTACCTTAAAAAATGTCATGTATAAAGGAGACAAAGTCTCTTTCCACATAATGTCCGAGAGTATTTTGCTGAAGCAATATATGTCTCAAACTGTCCCAACACACCTTTTACAATCCGAATTCACAGAACCTGTTATCAAGAATTTCTTTTTTTAGAATATATGTTGTTGTTTTACATAACAAAATCATTGGTTGTAGGATAAAATTAAGGTGTTGTTCTATTTTTCAAAATAAGAGAAATGAATGTCCAAAAGTTTACAGAATCTAAAGGAACACTTAATCCAAAACAGAAGTTTTCTTTATTGAAATGTACCATGCAACTTCTACTTGAAAATATTTACATAAATCTATAAAATGCCTTTGGTTCAATCATTTCGATGAGCAATAGTCATTTTCAGTAAACTACCTTCACAAACATCAAAGATCACCCCCACAGACATAGAAGTCAGTATAACTACCTACACAGACATCAAAGGTCACCCCCACAGACATAGACATCAGTTTAACTACCTACACAGGTATCAAAGGTCACCCAACATATATAGACATCAGTTTATCTACTTACACAGATATCACAAGCCCCCCCCCCCCCACACACACACACACACAGACAGAGAGCATCTTATACCTACCTACACAAACATCACAGGTCACCCCCACAGACATAGACTTCAGTATAACTATTACACAGATATCAAAGCAAGGTCGTAACTACCATTGAGGCAAGTGAGGCAAATGCCTCAATAAAATTTTAGATTTTTCTGAAGAATTAAAAATTTTTACTTTTAACTTTAATTAATTATGTGTGTCTCTATACTAAATTTATACTTTCAACTTATGTTTTAATTTCTGTAAATTGACCATTTCATCAGGTGCTTCATTATACTTTAGAATGCATGTAATAAAAAATTCAAAACGTGAAACTTTCAAAGATCAAGTCTTTAATTCGTTAAAAAAACCCAGGTTTAGGGAACGTTCCCCTCCCTTCGAGAATAATCTGGATCTGCTTGGGACTCGGGTGCCTCCTAGATCTCTTGCCTCACTAAAAATTTGAGCCTAGTTACAGCCTGGCAAAGGTCACCCCCACAGACATAGACTTCAGTATACCTTCCTACACAGACATCAAAGGTCACTCAACAGATATAGACATTAGATTACCCACTTACACAGACATCATAGGCCACACTACAGACAGAGACATCAGCATCTTATACCTACCTACCGGTAAGCAGATATCATAGGTCACACCAAAGACATAGATTTCAGCATAACTACCTACACAGACATCAAAGGCCACCCCCACACAGCTAGGGCTGACAAATAGATTTTTTTAGGCACTTGTCCAAGGGCAATTGTATGGTGAAAATTCACTTGCCCTACCTGAATTTTTGCTTGCCCAACCATAAACTAATACTGTATTAATATATTAATACAGTATAGAATATATAATACAGAAAAAAATACTGAGTAGAACATGCAATCCATTGTGCCCAAAATTAAATCTATGACTAAAATATTTATTTTATTTTTTTAAGTCACTTGTCCACGGGCAAGTGGTTGATAAAATTTCATTTGCTCTCTCCTAAAATTCACTAGCCCTGGCCGTCATGCAATGGGATTTGTCAGCCCCTGCCTACAGACATAGACATCATACGCCAAAACACACACATAGACATCAGTTTACAGACCTACACAAACATCATTGCCATAGATATCAGTATCTACACAGATATCATAGGCCACTTTGCAGACATAGACATCAGTATATATACCTACCACACCACAGAGAAAGACATCAGTTTACCTACCTACACAGACATCATAGGCCACTCCGCAGACATAGACATCAGTAATGTTACGTTTAGATAAGATCTGGACCAGTTCTGTCTGTGATTGTTTGTTGTTATCCCAGAATGCTGAGTAGCTGTCCACATCAGGATTCTTCCCTTTATCCACAAAGATGCTGTCATCTGGGACCTGTGAAGAATTACCGCAATACAGTTTACAATCATCATTATCATACAATAGAAAACAAAACATATGCATGCTCAAATTTCCACTTTATGAATGATATACCACTTAAAAGTTATCTGAGATATTATATATACTAACACACAACTGAATTTTCAAGAATTCACTATTCTAATTAATAGAGAACATTTTATCTCATTCTCCAATATTTTCAAGCTATAAAAACATCTCCTTTACACCATCAAAGAGCAATTCAGTCTGCAGCAACATCATTGCAATAGAAAATTGTGGCAACCTGATACAGTCAAACCTGTATTAAGTGACTTGCCAAAAGAAATTCTTTAATCGCTGTGAAATATCATATTAACGAGTAAGTGTTTGCATACTTCTTCCTCCAAGTGGGGGGAAGGATAATACTAAGCAATTTATTACTTCTATTTATGAAAGTGGAGCCAAAACTTGCTAATTCAGGATCTTAAACTACATTTAGGATGGAAAATGATGATTGCTTGTAGCATTAGACAGGAAGCCACTGAATGCAGGTAAAATATAATTAAAAATAAAAAAAAAATTCTCAGGAGGAGGCTATATACAGGTGGTCATTAAAACAGATTTGACTGTAATTTTTCTCCACAGAAATAGCATCTAAATATAAACCTTGTCATATATTTGTGAAGTGAGCCATGTTTTAAATATCAATTTTAGCTGACAAATCAGTCATTAAAATTTCCTTATATTTTATAAACCTTGAGATCTGTGTGCAGTTCAGCTCCCCAGCTTCCCTGAACACAATGAGTGGGCCATAGTTTCTGCTCAGTAATGGAGGATCCCTCAAATATCACTGTGTCATGAACCTTGGCTTCTTTCTGAGAAATCTGAAAACATATTATAGTTCAATGAAAAACTTTCAAATAATTTAGTTGTATTGCCTATAAATATAGAACACAAGATGTGTGTGGAGCAAAGAGCTCACATGGGACACACTCTTTAATGAATGTGGATTTTACCCTTTGTAGAACATTTTCGCCAATACTCTGTATTTTCTGGTGTTGCCAACAAACACTGAACCTTACATAATCCTTTATAATATACCTATAAGATGCCAGGTAGAAAAAAATTTTTATCTGGCAGCCATCAGATAAGTTTCTGCCAACCACCACATAAATGACTGGTAGCCCCCAATAAACTTAACTGGCAGCTGCCAAATAATTATTCTGGTGGCCACCAAATAAATAGATCTATTATGGCCGCCACAAAAATAACTGGTGGCTACCAGATAACTATCCGGCAGCTGCCATATAATTTCTTGTGTCTGCCAAATAATTATTTGGCGCCCACCATATAATTTTCAGGTGGCTGCCAGATAAGTTTCTGGCAGCCGACAGAAATTATATGCTGGTCACCAGTTATCTATGTGGCAGCGGGATAAGTTTTTGCCAACTGCCATTTAATTATCTGGCGGCTGCCAGTTATTCATGAGGCGGCTGCCAGATAAAATATTTTTCTATCTTGCACATACCAACTTCCGTATATACCCAACTGTGTATCACTCAATTTTACTGTTGATTTCAAGCAATCATGGTGGGACGGTGTGATCCCACTTTCCAGGTCACGTACCACACTAAGGTTTATTGAATGCATATCAACCCTCTGTGAAACTGATGACATAATACTCAGTACACATGATGTTGTAGAAAAGTTCCTCAATAAAGTGTTTGTTTAACTGATAAAAATTCAATAATTGATCCCAAAGTGTTCTTTTATCATATAAAAGCTAATAATTGAGCGGTATATAATATAATCTATCATTACAACTGTAGCTGTAGCTTGATCTGAAGAGCCATATCACATCTAGGCAGCTGATCATCAGATCAAATGAGACATTTCGATTCCCTTTGCTCTAATGATCCATACATGTCAACATGATACAGCTCCTCAGACCAAGTTACCGTACAATAATATAAACTCTTGATGATAGAAACTTTGTAGACTAAAATTCATGACCTTTACCTATATTTCCCTATGCTAACATTGGCTCCTATGCAAAATTTAAAGCATATGTCTAAGTCTTATAATTCAGTTTGACTAGAGTATAAACATGTCGATGAGTGAAGTCCAAACTAGAATGAATTTGTAATCTAAGCTTAAGGTCTTGATTTCAGCAATTTTGAAGTACAGATATGTACCAGTAATAATGTTTGCATGTCAATTTAACTGCTTGTAAAGTTGCTAGTTGTAAGAACTAGAGCTTTCCAAGCAAAACATACTAATCCCCCCCCCCCCCCACCCCCACCCACCAAAAAAAAGAGGCCCCACTCAAAACAAGACATTTTTGAAACACTGCATAAACAAAAGCATCAATATATAAGAAGTTTAACTGTAAGTCACTTGTGTTAGGCTAGGAATGAATGAGCTAAATACAGTGTCTTTCTTCCAAGTCTTTGAAGCCTAAAATATATGCCAAGTCAGCAATTATGAATATTCCAGGATATATCCATATAATTGGACATTTTGTGGCAATATTGGTTGAATCCAGTTGAATGTTTTTTTTTTTTGTTTTTTGTTTTTTTTTGTTTTGCTTTCTTTTTATATTCCATCATAATGGCTCATTTGAGGCTTAAATTTGGCTAAGAGGTGAGAAAAACAGTACTACAAAATATTCATCTGTTTGGGATTCTCTCACTCTCCCTGTGACATAATCATGAAACTTCTACCATAAATTCAAAATACTTATTCTTCTATGATGGGACTTAGATTAGCAGCATTAGCTTATCAGCAGAAAATGCTCTATCTCTGGGGAGCCAGTACCTATTTGACTATTAAATTTATTTCATCATAAGCCACACAGTTGGCATGCAGATAAAAATGATTTTCACAGATGCTTGACATAACTTTGTAGTTAAACATGTCTGTTACCAGTATATCATGTCCAAAATATGTCCAAACATTTACATACAAATTGAAAATAATTAAATGCTATGCAGACAATTTGATTGTCCATCATTAACACCTCCAAATTTACCTATATTAAAGTTCCTAACTTACTTGGCTTGAAGAATGGAAAGGTCTAATGTGCTTGTTTTCTGCAAATGATATGTGGTCTGCAGGGTGCCAATCTCTGGTATACACTACAAGGTCAAAGTTCACTGTCTCAAGGAGAGAGTTAATGGCAGGAATGACCCCTAACCCATCCTGACCTGCGGGACAGTTACGAAGTGCGAGGTTTCCATCCAGGAAATCATTCTGTACATCAACCACAATCAGAGCAGAGCTGGGCTGTAAAATCTATGGAAAACAGACACCAGAATCATTAATATTGGACAATGACAGATATTTCCTTACCTCGAACTCTGTAGTACAAAAATCTGAAATACATGTAACCTCCTTAGCAAATAGAATTTTTTCATTTAAAAGACTTTCATGCCAGATACAAATATCATACTGATACTTACCTGTTTTAGCCAGTAGTAGCAGTTTCCAAGAAACTCAGCTTTACTGATTTTTCCATCCTGTAATTGGGTGAAAATATTTTTCAAATAAAGCAAAGCACAATCCTCATCAAATAATTACTCAAATGCACCAGGTGAAGTTCAGTTAAAGAATCTTATTACAGAACTTAGTTTATGTAAGGAATTCTAGCTTAAAAGCCAAAACCTGTGGGACATGCATTACATATGAAAAGCCTTCCTACTGTTTTCATCAAAGTACATAAAAATTCATTATTTAGATAAATATATAATTTAAGAAAGCGCAATACACATTATTCCTTATATACTGTATGTGTACTAAAATAAGCAGGCTTTATATTTTAGCGGCTTTGGCTAGGACAGCAATGCACTAATTCATGAATTACGTTAATAAATCATAAACAAATACAATACATGGCACGGATATGTGTAACACTAATTCATGATTACGTCAACCACTCAATACCTAGTGATTGCACTAAATTTTGAACACATCAATTTATGTACATGTGCAGTACTTTGTGGAGAAAAAAAATAGTCACGAGAAATCCTTAATCATAACAAAGCCTTATTCTTAATTTCTCCATTTAAATTCTTTCCCATTGGGAAAGTCTACTCATAGAATGTGCTTGCTTCTAATCTGATAAGTCAATGTCTTCCATGCTTAGTTTCTATATTTACATTAGTCTTTAAGGCAATACATGTACAACTACTTATGTAAACTCTCAAAATTCTCATGAATAGTCGACGTCCTAATAAACGAACTTATAACCATGGAAAAACCTACATACATGTACTTCCTTGCTAATAAGGAACTTATAATAAGGGTCCTCAGAAGCTGGATTTGTTATACAGTAAAGCTCAGGTATAAAGAACTCACTAATAAGAAAATCTTGGTTATAAAGATATCTTAATGAATTCTGTAGAAGACTTTGCACTACGTTCCTTATACAGATATAAAGAAGCTTGGTTATAAGGAAGCAAAATTCCCTGTGACTTTGTTTAGATTAAGAGATAACATTTTTAGAGTTTCATTGGGATATGACATGAAGTTGGTAACATGATCAAATCCTATAATGCCCAAAGAGCAATATTGTAGATTTGATCACATACCAACTTCATGTCATATCCATATGAAACTCTAACAAATGATATTTTGTTTCTTACATTTATATTTTTATTCTATTCTTCGAGTTACAAAAAAAGGCACTTTGACTGACTTTGTTATGGAAATGCAACATAATATACAGGTACGACACCATGTGATGTCACAGTCTAGATTTCTAAATGTCTCATGCGGTTTGCTTTCCATAAGCAAGAAATTTGAGCAACTTCATGTCTTTGAAAACTGAATGTCAGTTTAATTGTATTGTCATATAACTATAAGGAAAGACATTGGCAAATATAAATATTGGTGTTTTACTGTACATGTTCTTATTTCTCCATTTATAGCATCCAATGTATGTAAATTTGAGATTAGCTGGTAATAATTACTAAATAATGAATGTACTCTAACCATGCACTTATAAATACCATTGAACTTTTTTCCCCATGTATTCTTGTATCAAAGATTAACATATTAAAGTTCAATGAATGAGTGAATATTTGAACCAATTTTATAAGTGCACATTAATTAATAAATCTTATAAATTCTTGGTATAAATTTGGGTAAATCCAGATCAATGAGACTTGACAAAGACTTGAGAAGTAAGTCAGATAAATGATCCACAATCCATGACAACCAACAGAAGTCACTGCCTGCGTACAAAAGTACTTTCATTATCTGATTATCCTAGTCTATACAGAGCATATACAATGTCTGTTGGATAAATGAGAAGATGAATGATGACATAGAATTATGAATTATAATGTAGTGCCTTCACCAAAAATGTGAAAAGATGGCCTTTTCATTTAAGTCTGCTAAATACCACAATAAAATATCAACAATTACACAATCACAGTGAAGCCTCATTAATCTGGAAACCAATGATCTGGACACTTAAACTTCTGGACGAACTTTGTGGGGAACATTTATAAATATATATAGGGTAAACTGATCGAAAGTCGAACATGACCGCGAGTCGAACGCATTTTAAACCTCACCTACACCTTTTGATAAACAATAAATGGTAGGCAACTCTTGATTATCTGTCTTCTTTTTTATCCATTTAATTAATTAGAGTTATCTTTTCTAAGTTGAACTCTTCTGTCAGTAGTTCTAGGTGCCGGGAAATTTGAAGGTGATTTCTCCAAATTTTCTGTCGTAAATGAATTATCCATGTTGTTTCAAAACTCCAAACATTTACCAAATAAGCTAATCAATACTTTAAAAGACAGATTTATACCAATCAATATTTTTAAAAGCTGTTTTTATATGGTTTTGGATACATAATTCGCAAAATAATTAACAAAGCTCATTGAATTAATATCGAAAAAAGATATGGAGTCGAACACCGAAAAAAAATCGCAAGTCGATCAGTGTTCGACACTAGATACAACGATAAAATACCGCAATTTACACAAGAGAGAATAAAAGCTTTATAAGATTTATAAAAATTACATTATTATAGAAGAAAATGAATCAACTCTTTCCATTAAAAAAAAACAAAAACAAACAAAAAAACAAACAAACAAACACAAACAAACAAAAACAAACAAACGAACAAACAAACAAACCTGTGCCACCAGTACTTTAATTATTCCATGATTCAGACCACAATTTACTTGATCATTTTAACTGTAAACATCTAGTTGTAATATAGCAAATTTAGATGTAGGCTATCTATTTTGGCAATTACGTCTAAAATCAAGTTTTAAACTTTGTGCAAAAATCCTCATGCTGGGGAAAGGAGTTTTCTTTTCTTTTTATCAACAAATTTGTGAGTTGGATTTTTTTTAATGTAGTCCCCCCTCCCCTCTCTCTGGAAAAAAAAAAACCTGGGTCTGCACCTGCCAATGTTTTCAGTGCTCTCCAGAGCCCAATACATGTTACTGGTGGGTTCTTAATGCTTTATCCATTTACCAAGACTGTGAAAAGAAAAACAAAGATGAATATTTAATTAAGAAGATCTGATGCTCCGCAAGCACGAAGTATATTTTCGAACATGATATTTTACTGTCAATTTAGTTTGAAAATGTTCATTGAAAAGTCTAGCTGCAACCCCTCTCCTAATTTTTTGCAGCATGGTAAAATCGCCCCGTTTTATGTAGCCAAAAAGCTTATTGTTGAAACAGTTGGAACCCCCCCCCCCCAACCGCATAAAATTTTCGAGATTGGATAATTACTTCTTGGTTTTTGCTGGCTCATGGCGCAGTCTTCACAACAATTTTTTTTTTCAACGCATGCCCGTCGGGCATCTCTTCTACTACTTTTACCAAGTTTACATGCCTTACTCAAAATTTAACTTCATGAAATTAAAAAAAATGCTGTCTTTACAGTGTATGAACCATTGTTTATACAAGAATGGACCAACAACCAAAAATTTCCAAGAGTGAAAAATATTCTTTCGGGTGGTCAAGAACATATACTTTTTATTGCTGTAATGCATTACCGAAAATTTTGAAATGTAGTAGTTTATCATTAAGGAAAAACCTGCATGCAGTTTTTAACATACTGAATTTGGATTCCATGTGAAAATCCTACAGTGTAATTACAGTTTGTGTACACAGTGTGTACACAATGTGGCATGATTATCTCGTGCATTTCAACAACAGTAGAAAGACGACAGGGATTAGTTAGTTACGCTTCTTTGCATATGACACCTGTGAAATTGATTTCAAAATGTGTATGCACTTCTTTGGTCAACTTATTTAGTATATATACTTGTGTGTTTTAATGATATTGTTACATTAGGTAATAAAAAATAAATTTCACCTATTTACTTGACTACTGACGGCATATTTATTTGGTACATTAAATACATGTATAAACAGGGCTGTTAAAAAAGGTCAGTGAATCTACAATGAATAATAAATCTACCAAAATGTGGTAATCATTGCTATTTTTGAAGAAATCTGAATTTAATAAACGAGTATTGAACAATTGAACGTTGAAAAAGGGGGGGGGGGTAACGATAACTTCTGACGTAAATGTAATTTCTTTTGATTTTATTTACCGGGTATTTTACTAAACTAATATTCAAATTTTCACACACAAAAAATCAAGAAATGCCAATTAGAAACAAAAAGGGAAAAGGAGTTGTCATGGAATAAAATACCGTACATACTTTAATATCAGAAACGAAAGTATAGATTGCAATCCACTGTGTAAAATATTTTTACATATAAGTCAGTCTATAATGGAGAAAACATTACACATGCCCAGCGGACATGTGAATCTTCATTTTTTACATGCCCGCCCGCAATTTTACCAGGTCCCGGGCATCGGACTCGATCCCGGGTTATTTCGAAGACTGATGGCGGGTGTGACTGGTCAACTTACTTCTCCTAGGCACCTGATCCCACCTCTGGAATTTCCGGGGGTTCGTGTTTTGTATCCTTTTCACAGATTTGTATTGTCTGTAGATTTTCTTGAGATCGATTCCGTTCCCTATCTTCATCTTTTTCAGGTACGTTGTCTTGAATCTTTTTTCGCTCCCCCCCCCCCCCCTTAAAAAAAAACAACGATGCTGCAAGTATGTTTGCGCCAGTTCCAGAAAAAAGAAGAAGATTTTTTGAGATCTCAGGAAAATAGGGGCCGTAACAGAGGATTAACATTTGATTAAAGAAAAAAAACGAAAGCTTATAGAGATAATTTGAATGGTTTTAAAATCCGCATGAAAGATTTAAAAATTTCTGAAGAAATAAATATTCAACATCAAATTTTTATGCAATTTTGTAAATCGTTTTATGTCTTCTGATTTTAAAATATGTCAAATTGAATTTGTTTCATGGCAAGATTGTTTAGATTGAAACTATTTTGCGTTGAATAAAGTAATCGAACTTTAAGAAAATTAGTCCTATCATAGAAAGTTGTGAAACTTCAAACAATAAATTGAGTCCTGACCACATAAATTCGCCTGAAACGAATACTTAGAGCACTCGAAATGCTACCTTAGAAAAGACTTCTAGGTGCAAAAAATGAAGATAACAAACAGTGATCGATGTCAAAAAAAAAAGAAAAAAAAAGCAAAACTTTTTTTTCTTTCTCTTTTGCCATAACTTCAAATTGGGCTTCAAACATGTTCAACGGAGGATGAAAAAAAGAGAGAAAAAGCATATAAAACTGGGGAAAAACTGAATACAGAGAGAAATAAGATAAAATCAACAGAAAAGGTGGAGGATCAATGAAAAATTTTGCAAATTGATAATGTTGACTGAATTCTACATTACATGTATTACTTTCCTCCTTTAATTTAAAATTATTTCCCGTATTACCAACAACGTTTCACAATCTTCCTTGATATTAAAATAAATTAAATGAAAATCATGTCAAAATGTTTGGTATGAATCAAAATCTATCTATAAAAGAAAAAGACGAGATCAAACAAAATCTTTTCAGAAGTTTGTCTATTTTTAAAAATAATAATATATTATGTTAATGTCATGAAAAGCAGTTCCTATTAACAATTATGTAATTCATGCGACTCGGAATAAATGAAGTTCGACTTCATATCTAGCCGTTCGACTTATGGTCGAATGTGTTCGACTTACGATCTATTTTGTATCTCGGGCTTTTTCCTTTAATAACAATTGTTTCATTCAGTTGCCACAGTAAACAACACGCTAAAATGACGCCTTAGGCACACATTTCGATACATCTCTGGGTTTATGACACGCATAATGTACCCTGTTGTCAACACTGTCGGTGAATATAGATAGGCGTTCGACTTGCGATCAGTTTACCCTATACATGTCCAATAACTGTATCTCACTTCCATTCTCAATGACCGTGTAGTGTAGGACAGCGCCATGAGAATTCCATCGGCATCAAAAGCAAGTTTTTTGACTTGCCTAGATAGCCGAGCGGTCTAGCGCGCTGTTCCTGTACTGCTAGGAGACAGTGAACATGTACTTAATAGTAAAAACATGTCAAATTCCTTCTTGTTTGAAATTCTGTATGCGATTTCTTTAATATACATGTACATGTATTTACCGTAGCAATAAAAAGATTTTTACATCATCTTTATAATTCACAAAATAAAAACTTTGTATAATATGCACAGATTCTGAAGTATAATCTTTCTACCAACGCCACAAGTCAACCTCTAGCATCGTTTCCCATGTATACATAACCGGATATCGTCTATGCATTGTAAATTTAAAACTGGTCGCTGTCAGAATAAAGAAAATGAAATATACATTTTCTATTATTAGAAAACCATGTTCATATATGTATAATCAGTTAACAGAAATTATTTTACCATAATAAAATCTAATGCAAAAGAAAAATCACGCACTTTTGTCTAACAATAGAACAACACTGAAATACAGGGCACTATAGCTCAAGTTTTCACTGCGACACACGCTCACATGATGGTGTGTATAGACGATTTTAAATTCTACACGCTCATATAGGAAAAATAAATTCTAATTGCATTAAATTACAGAATTTTGTTTTACTTCGATCTTTATAATTTTCACTTTCATATCCATAAACTGTATGCGCGCATATTTCACACAGCATTAAATAGCGATTATCAAGATAAACGTACCCAAGCCACAAAACAACGTGTCATCCATGTGTATGCAGTAGACTATAAATACACACAACCTTTGGCTTGCATAATTAAAATCAAGGTAAGCCATACATACACTTTGTATAATTATCGCGCTATTATTTGTTGATCACAGGAACACAGGTAACCCGAGCGTGACAGACGGGTGTTATCAATAGAGCATTCAGTTTACCTAACGGACTTGATCATCAGAGCGGAAAATAATCTTGACTTCGAGATAACGCATGTGATTTTAATGAATGGGTACACAATTTTACTTCCAGATAACCGGGGTGTTCGACATTACCGTGTTCGACATAGAGGGGTTTATTTTAATCATTTATAAAGCAAATTTCGTCGGGACCACGGCCTTACTTCGACATATCCGGGGTATTCGAGATATCCGTGTTCAAGATTTCGAAGTTTAGCTGTATATATATATATATATATACACCAAATATGTTTCAGTAATCAGGATTACTTATCTGGACAATTTGCATTGGTACTCAAGTGTCCAGATTAACTAGGCACGACTGTATATACTTGGAAATGTGCTTGGAAATGTGCTAGAAGTTGTTTCTTGACCTGAGGGAACAGTCATTTAGATTTTTAAAAGAATACTTAATGTAATATATTTCACTGTTTTTGTTAAAAATTGAGAAATGTTGTGTGGTTATACTTAAAAATTGCACAGCAGGTTGTTTTATCATAAAATTAGTAACACAGTTCTCTGAAGGGGATGGCTGCACAATGCACATACAATTATTGATTAGCATTTAAACAGCAATAGTAATGATCTCTCTCTTCAATGTGTTTGGGCACAAATTGGAATCCAATATTGTGGTAAAAGTCAAAGATATTATTATACACTAACAAAACAATACTCTATGCAGAAAAGTAATTCAATTAAAAAAAGAATTCATTACACTCTATAAACACTGGACTTTAAGAGAAAACAATTCAGGACACACACAGTAACACAATTAAACTGCCCTGTGATTCTAGGTGGTATGTATTGATTGGAACTTCCAAGACCTACTTGATATCTCTATTAATATACTGTGCAACTATCACAAATGTTTACACTATTTCTGTCGTTATACCGTATGCAATCAATTTCCCACTGTGGCAGACTACATACCTGTACCAATGAATGATTCGCATACATGTAAAAGTGCAAAACTGACAAACCATCACAACACATTTATGACAAAACATCAAAAGGCATTTCCATTCCACCAATGGGGAGCAATATAAGTTTCATCATAAATAAAAGGAAAATAAATTATTCATATTATCGACAATCAAGCTACCTCTAAAATTAATCCTAAAATTTCCAGAAGGTAGAAACTATATTTCAGACATAATATTTTTAAAATAAAATCAATTTCATCTGAAGTGAAATCAGTGATGTATTCATGCAGTCAAAGAATTTCATAATCATGGCTTCCTCTCTTGTAAGATGGTGGACAAATTTGTTCTGTTCTCCACACATACTCACAATGACTCTTGTTTGTAGAGGCAGATTGATTTATAAGCCAATTAATGACAGAAATATTTTCTTCCATGTTTGCAGAAAATGATAAGAGATAATGAGAGCTAATTTGCAGTGCCAATTTTGGAACTTTCCTGAAGAAATCAACAGAGACGAGCTTAATTCAGAGCACACACGTCACAGCATTCCATATTTGGACCAATTTCCCTGCAGGAGGTCCAATGAGGACTTGTAAAGAGATATCCCATTCTGTAGATCTGGACAGTTCAACCTGTGCTATTCATTACCATTAAATTACATGTAACTTTTAAAGGTGTTTTCTTTTGATTTAGAAACATTTATTTCAGTCATATTTTTAATTACCAGCATCTGGGTTCTTTTTAGACAATGTAGGGTGAAGGTTACAAGTAAGGACAAATTATCATAGAATTTCAAGCTAGTAGGAATAAATGACTTTACCATCCAGGTTTCATGAACACTCATTCAATGTAAGAAATCATTTTTTTTTTTTGGCACTCACTGGATCAAACTAAATTTATTAATATTCACAATATATCTTTTTAAATGAGTACCGGTTTACCGATGTTTGTTTTCCTGTCAAAAATGTTAAAATTAAAACTAACCTGGTCTTGGTCTAGGAGAGTAAGAATTTCCCCCTCCTGTGCCTCAGTGAGCTTGTAGGACTGTGAGCCATCACAGAACACATCATTCAGTAACTGGTGAAACTCCTTCTTATTCAGAAAGCCATCTCTGTAAAGATTAAAAATTCTTCATAAAATCTGTTATTATTTTGAAAAGTAATGGATGCAAGGACTAATTACGTATACAAGTCATAAATAATACATATATACAAAGATCTATATGACAAGGACATAAACATTAAAAGAAGCACATAAAAACAGGGACCTAGATATACCAAAGGGATAGGCAACTCCTTTAGCGCCATGTTTATTTACCCAAAACGGCACACACAACACTGCAAGTTTTTCAAACTACGTTTTTTTCCCAGTAAAAAGCTTGTTTTCTGATTAATGTAATCTGTTCTTTTTGTGTATCGGAATGGATATTCAATAAATTTTAAAGCACATATTATAAAATAATTTAGATATTAAGTAAACAACCACCAAAATCGGCAATTTCTCGGAAATACGGCCGATCAGGGGCACGCACTGATTTTTAAATAAAACGTAATTACTTCTAAGATAAGGAGTAAAAACAGTGCTAATAACAAATCTTGAATAATTTATTGATAGATAAATTAAGGTTTTATTCTGAAATATCTGATAGCAAAAGAGATTTATTTAATTAAAATTGACTTACGAAATCCCGCAACTTATGAGATATCGCGAGACTTGCGAGAGTTGCCTATCCTGTTAGTATATAGGTCCCTGATAAAATTAACTCCAATTTACAAAATTTAAATAGAACAGGTTTGACAAATGACTCTCTCTCTCTCTCATTTTCTCTAATTAGTTTAATTTTGTAGACATCAAGAGCATGGAAACAAGATAATTCTGTATTTGGCTATAAAAGTGTATTTGATTTTCTACAAAATTCATGTTTGCTTTAAATTATACAGTTTTAATTATTTCTACATGTACCAAGTATAACCATGTATGATCATTTATCTTTTTTTTTTTAATGAAGTGTTATTACTGCTGGTATTTATACCAAAACATAAAACCCACTCTTATAAAAGGCTTAAAACTGAGCAGAATATTAGAGGTTACTTTGGCAAAAAATGGTTAACCAGTCTACAGTTAAGCTCCCATAAAGTGCAACACCTGAGCTCCTTACTTGGCAGGTTTACTTTAATAATCCTTTAATCCTTAATCAGATTGGCACATTCAGAGATTGTATGCAATCCCCTGATTTTAAAAACACTGGAATTTAGTAGTACACTTGTATCATACCAAATACCAATTGTTAACAGTATATTATTATATTCTTTATTCTTGGAGAGGGGGGGGGGGGTCCTATGTCCATGTTAGTTAATAAAGATATTCTATGATATATCTTACATAAACAATTTCAAAATACATTTTGTTCTTCAGAAACTATAATGAGTAATGAAAAAAAAAATGTCTAAATTACATCATTGATATTGTGAGGAAATGTATTTAATACCTTTCACAGAATTTCCCCAAATACAGGTTATGTAAATATACTGGTAACTGCAAACTTGAAAAATACTTAAAACTGGTGTACATTTACATTCAATTTATCATTGAAAAGTGGGTTTATTACATAATTGAATCATTCCTGACTCTCTGATTGGTTAAAATTCAACATTCGAGCAGTCATAAAAAGTCATATTCACCTGCAATTGAATCTTTCAAGTGAATGTTGCATTGCATTTTTTTCTGCCCCCCTCTAACTGCATTTGACAAGGGTTCAAACTGGGTAAACAACCAAGAAAGATGGTAAAATTTTCTTTAAAAAGTTTGTATCATTGAATCATGTCAATAAACAATATTGTTGTCTTAGGGCCAATAAGATGATATAGCAACCCTTGAAGCACAGCCTTCAGACTCAGATCATTTTGTCTCTCTGGGTAGCTAATTAAGGAATGTTTTTAAGTTTTGTGCGAGTTATTGGTGTGTAAATCACACAGACTTGTCACGTAGGCATATTTCATGAAGCGTGCCAGCCTCAAAGTGACGTCAGTTTAGCGCGAGTTTCTCCGTGTATACACGAAAATGGCATTCAAATCAATTTCATAGTTGTTTAAGTAGAAAAACACAGTAAATGTAAATATATGGAATTGACCTAAAAAAATAGCAATTTATATTGTATATAATATTACACAGCTCCACAAGATATGGAATTAAGATTGCCAACCCAGATACCATGGTAACTATTCTGTCAACTCTGCATTTGCCTCTATTGGTTACATCTGTCAATTCAACATCCCACCCCCAACCAACACCTCCAACAAAAAAAAAGTCTTTTGTGTGTTTTCAGTTTTTATAACATTGATCTTACCACAACTGCATAATATGACAGTACAAAATACAGACTTTGACCCCCTTCAGAGTAATTGCTATTAAGTTAGACATAACAAGTGCAACCTTCTTTTAAAACAGATTTTATATATCAAGTAAACCTGAAATCTCAAAAAGAAGATATCCATATTTTTTTTCAAATATTTGATAAACAGGAGGCAAATATGTGGCAATGAGAAAATTTATCATACCCATATTTATGTAGTCTATCTGCAGGAAATATAATCATGAAATAAATTTTACTTCCTTATCTATCATAATAACTAGCATAGTATATGATATTTTTTAAGATTTTAAAGGAGATACAAATGGAAAATATCCCCAAAATTCAGCTTACATCTTCCTGAAGTGTGAACAATAATATTCCTAATGCTTGATAATAAGTGTATATAAGTATTTTCAAATGCTTAAAAGTTTAGACTATGTTTATATCCTTAGAAATGGTGCTTCATTTTTCTGAGGGACTGGGAAAATGTGTCTTCACTTCTGACTCTGTGAGCTAGATAGATTTATTTGATAGTTCAAAAAATGACTGACCAGGTTATTTCACTAAAGTGTCAGACACAACAATTCAATTCACCAAATACCTTTTCAATAAAATTACTGACGGATGGTAAATTTTCACTTGGTTGAACTTTTAATTTCGTAGGCTATTGGAAAATAAAAATCCTATAAAAATAAATATAAAAAGGTACATATGTATATTTATTTTGTCTGGAGTAAACATTTTGCAAACTGTAATATTTTTTTTAACTCTATTTTTAATTGACAGTTTTTTGGTTTTTTTTTAATTTGAGCAATATATACTGTCTTTGAATAACATTTCTGATAATTAATTAGCTAAATACAATTAACAGTTACAAAAAATTGTATTTAAAAAAAAAATAATAATAAAATTACCAGATCATATTGATTTAACTTGTACATCACAACCCTCTAAAATGATAAATAATAATAATGAACTGATCGAGTCTTTTTCTGTAATAAACAATATAAGGAACCCCAATTTAAATGTGTTTTTATAAATATTTCTGTAAGATACTGTAAATAGCTCTCTGCCAACTTAATTAACACCTTAACTGCAGTAGAATAAAGAAGTGGGCAGACAATGAGACATATCCCACATCAAAGGAAATTACAGCAGAACTCAATATTTTTTATTTTTATATCGCAAAAATAAAACTTTTACTCACCTGTCAATGTCGTAACGTTGAAAGCATTGAATGCAATCTTGTTTATCAAAAATCTTTCTTCTGTCAACAAATTTATCAAAGAAGTTATCCCTGTCCGGGGAATCCATCTGCCTTTCACAACAGTTAGCTCGAAAGTGAATGTTTACATTAACATCAATGCGCTCTGAACTCTGTCTAATAGCATTTAACAATACACAATCGGATAAAATTGGACTGGCACAAAGTTCTGAACATTACGTATATACAAACTTAATCCTCTTAAACGATTTGAGAACAGCCAATTGTTGCTTAAAACTTTGGTATAAGAAGGTTTTAAAAATATTCAGGTGTGCACATTTCAATTACCTAAAATTGGACACACTCAAATATCACCGATAAACGCTGGGCACTGTGTGCATTGGGTGGCGCACTGACCAAGAAATAATGAATTCAGAATCATGTCAGTTTATGTTCTTTATTTGCTTAATATTTATAATATTAATACACAGAAAATTGCTGAGGTATGACTAACCTCTACACATGATACATGATAAATAGCACATACAAACAGAAAAAGGTATGATGCTTCTGTACGTGTACATGATAAACAGCACATACATTAAAACAGATCATAAGTAGATAAACAGATGGGATACATGAAGAATGAATTCACAACCTTTTTTTTTCTTTTTTTTTTTTTACTTAAAAGCTAACATTTTTTTCCTTCAAAATAACAAACCCCAGAAAAGTTTTAGACACTTAATAGTTGTACTTATTTAAATACGGATTTTTCCCTACAATATCTTATTTTAAATAATATTCCTCTCATTTGGTACGGCGTCGTTGGAGGGCCAGAAAAAAAATATTTATTTGTTCGGGCGAATTTACGAATTAGATGTTTGTTCGGACAATTTAGATATTTGTTCGGACAAATTAGAAATTCGTTCGGACAAATTAAATATTTGATCGGACGAATATTAATGTCATTTTGGTGTAAATTCCTGCTATAAATACATTATAATGGAGCGCCTTGGATTAAGGTAGTCCGATCCTCAGGTTCTGAAAATCAGCTTTTAGGTAATTGAAAATGCTCACAAAATGTCTCTGATTTCATAGAATGACATGAATTTACCCATGGTATTTCTTCAAAGTTCATCATTATAGTTAATCATATCATATAGGGAAAATTATCAAATCTCAAATATATTTTCAGGAAATGCGAATAAAAACACCAGCTATTCATTTTTTAATTGAAAATTGATCAACAAATACAATGTATATTTTTGGATTAAAAAAATATAGGTATCCAGGCATTTGGAGAAAATTGCATCTTTTTTATGCTTATGTAGTATTTTAGTTCTTCTATTTACTTCAATTGTTATATATAATACATAGTGTAAAAAGCTTGCGCTATCATTGCTAGACATCATATATCATGTGTAATTTCATGTCATGCAAATAAGCATTGGTATCTAATGATAGATTGAGGGAAATTCAATTTCTTTTATGGGGTACAAATGTCAACTTTTCACAAGACCATTTCTAAGACTTATAAAAACCTTGAATCCTATTGAGATACATAGAATGAAAATTGATGAAAAGATCCCAATTCCAAGCTTCAATTTGAGACTTTTTAAATAAAATGATAAATTTAAGAGTTATCCTTCCTGGCTGAGGATCGGATATCCTTAATGTTAAGTAAATAATTGAAGGTATCTTAAATTATTTCAAGATATTATTTATTAATCTGATGCGCGCAACAACTCAATTAAAGATCTCTTTAACAAATATGGATATCTTCAATTCTAATTTTATTGCGCGTATTAATTCAATATGAAATTAATTTAACGAATTGATGCGTGCAATATTTGATTTGTTGCTGTCTTCAATTGAAAGAGCACAAAAAAAGATGGAAGAAAGAATTCAATTAAAAGAGCACAAATTTAATTAATGCTCGCATTAATTGAATCATTGATATCTTGAAATGCATTCTTCCTCAATTATAAATTAATGATATCACTTATCATACAGTTATGCAATTAATTAATGCGTCTAACAAGTATCAGAGAGAGAGAGAGAGAGAGAGAGAGAGAGAGAGAGAGAGAGGGCGCAACCATTTAAGAGCCATTCTCTGTAATGACTTGAACTTTTATATAGGAGCTGTGGCACGCATAGTCTCAGAATTTCTCCAAACTCTCTATGATAAAAGTCTTTGATACCGTAAATTCAAATCAGGCAAAAATTGGTTGCTACGTGTCATGGTTACCATAGCAACATGTCGTAAAGTTTGAAAAATGGCATTTTTCAACATGTTCAGAGTCCCACAGTTAACTTTTGCAGCAAAGCAAACAAGTGGCAATGATTGTTTCTGAAAGTTAAAGGCCTGATGTCTTAAATGCATAATAAACATGTTTGGTAAATCAACTATAACATACGTTACTATGGAAACAAAGCATTCAAAAGTAATAATTTTGTTCATTTAATTTTATAAAGTCATACACTTAAGAATAAAAACAATTATAGGTTGAAATGCAAGCAAATAATAGACAAGAGATCCTTGTAACATATACCAAGAACAAAATATGATATTTCTTATAGGTTGGCAATGGTTGCCATGGTTTTAATACCACGAAGGGATTTTAAATTTACTCTCTTAGTGTTTTAATCTTATCCTATCTTTTTAAAAAGCATATTTCTATATAACTGATGATCAATTTTTAAAGGCCTTGGTGTGTCCCTAATTTTCACATTTCAAAAAATTCAATTTCAATTCTTTAAATAGTGCGTTGCTATGGAAATAAGGCGAAAAAACATGCATAAAAATCTTAAAAATACTCTGTTTCCTTGGATACGTACCCTTGTATGTAGATTCCCAAAACTTTTATGATTGATATATGTGAACAACTAACCTGACTTTAAATTTTGACTACCACCCAATCTCTAACTGGATGCAAAAATCTGGCACATAGGGTCCAATATTGACATAAAATTAACAAAATCGAACATTTTCTCTTCTTGGTAACCATAGCAACATTGTTTTATTTTTCAACAACCTTTATCAATATATGATATTCAACTTTAGTTCTACGAGATAAGTACCATTCAAGGTGATTCAAATAATATGTTTCTTGATTAAAAGGTCAGCAAATTCCTAAGGCAGCAAAAAAAATATCACTTTAAACAACTAGTACGTTGTTTCCATGGTTACACTGCAAAGTAATCATTAATCTCAATTTTTCTTATGTTGTCGGTGTTGCAAGGTCCTAAGGATGTATATGTGCCAGTCGTGAATTTTATTGTTTTTCCTCAAGACAGTATCATTAATCCAATCATAGCAACAGATTTTGCATGGTGACACTGTGTTACCATGGCAACCATGAAAGTTATTTTTAGAATAATATTGGCAATACCTAATTACATAAGTTAAATATTTTTCATTGTTTTTCTTAGGTTTTTGATTGAGTTTAATCATGTAACATCTATCATTTGTGAATATTGAGCTTTTTTCAGCATTTTTCAGCATCTAAAATGTATTCCAAATGTACCCATGGTTACCACTTACTTAGAGATAAATTCTGCATAGTTTCTTTATAGCATAAGTGGCAACAAGGTATCATGTTTTTAGGAGAATAGTGTGTTTGTTTTTCTTAGTCTTTATTAAGGCTTAATAAAGATTTAAAGTAGCTGAAAATCTCAATTTTTTCAACTTTTCTGGCTGTTACCATGGCAACCAAGACACATAGCAACGAAATTTTATTTGATATATGTTTCTGGTGTCAAGTTGTAATAATGGGCAAAGTTTCATCAAAATCGGTGACCATGCGTGGCAAAGAAGTTTAAGTGGTTACAGAGAATCGCTATTAATTAGAAATATCTTCAATTCAACATACCTATAAATTAAAACTGTTGTGTTACTTGCTAAAGGGATTGACACACCCATTAATTAGTCTCGCACACAAAAAAGAGAGAATCAAAGAGTTCAACAAATTATTAATTAATACCGTCCGATGTCTAAATTATTATTTTTTTTTTTTTTTCGAAAAATAATGCCACCACATTGTTAAGCTCAACAATTGACAGTGTTTAAAGTTTACTTGCATATATACTCTGGTGCATACACTTTTCCATTAAAGGTAGACACGTGGCCTTTGAAAATTACATGTGTTAACCTCCAAAATCATATATGGTTAAAAAAAAAATGGCCGTCATATTTAATTTAGCTATCCTCAAGAAAAAGGGGGCCGCCCAGACATGTTAAAAATGATACATTGCCCTAAGGCCCAAGTCACGAGGGCTTGTCTCGGGACACAGTTAGATGATATGATGGAAGAACGTGAAATACTGACAAGAAAGAAAGATAATCCATTTAGCGTATCACGCCATTCTTGCAACGCATTTAGGAAAAACACTCTCATTGCGATAGCAAGAGAAAGAAAACCAAGAGTAACAGTTTTCGGAAAGTTACGCAAGTCAGTTCAAGTCTTTACTGTTAAGCAGTTTGCTGAATGATGGATTACGATAAAGATTTTTACCGGAGAAAACAGGTCTGGTCTATCATAGCTTTTACGATGTAGATCTAACCAACTTTTTTAAAAATGAGAACGGTCTTGGTCATTACGTTTAGAGGAATTTCGGATTGTATGATATAACAACATTGTGCTGACCACAATGGAACTTTTCTAGATTGAACATCTTTGTAACTCAAGATAGCGTTAAATATAAATATTTTTTTGTAAAAACAAGTGTAAATCAATCAGTATTCTGCAGGTCACCAGGTGTGCATTATGCATGACAGGAATGTTGGACGGTTCGCCCCCTAAAGACCATTCGCCCTGAAGCATTTCGCTCCGAGACGATTCGCACCAGATGTACCCCATGATTTCCTTTAACCAGTTAATTGATCGCAATTATCCCTTGTTAATAGTACAGACCCTAAAATGTGCTACTACACCTCAGAAACGAAACAACCATTCTGTGCAAGAAGCCTACCGTACCTATTCTCTTTAGAGAAGTGGACAGGCTTTCACCTGGATGTAGGCGAAAGCCTGTCCACTTCTCGAAAGAGAATATACTGTACCGTGCACGGAACGAACCGTACCGTTCACAAAGCAAACCGTACCATTCACAAAACGTACCATACCATACACAAAATGAAACAAATCCTGTGTAAGTGGTGTACTAGCACATTTTAGGGTATGTAATTATTACCTTTTTAGCAACTTTTGTATTATTATTCATTATTCCAATGATTATTCTGATTTCCATATTACTTTAATTACATATACATATTATTGATGGTCTTTGTTAAATAAAGTAAATAATTTAAGTATAATGTAACACAACACATTTTAATATTTTTGTTATACCATAAATGGGTTTACTGATCTGAGATACATATATGTCTTTTTGACAATATTTTATTGTGATATATGTATTATACACTTACATTTTATTTAAATATACTAAATCAAACAACCCACCCATACACATAAATTTATAGGCTTTATGTTAAGCATGCATAGCTTGAACATTGTTATTAAAGACTGCAGTTGAAGGATTTTGAATTCGGATAAAAAGTACCCTCTAAATCGGACATAAACAACTTAAAAAGTAATGAAACATCGATAAAGTCTATACAAACTATGCAAATAGATACGCACATCTAAATATTTATAGAAAATACTTTTAGATTATATGCGACGTGAAAGGTCTCAGCACAAAAGGTCTTTAGGGTGAATGGTCTCGGCGGGTGAAACATCCAGTTACCCATGACAGCACAACCTTGGTCATGTTGGTTGACAATATTTTTTCTGGGTGCAGTATTTATATACGATAATTTAAAAACTGCCTTAAAAATGTCTTTTTATCAATCATCAGGCTTCTTGAACATGATGTTGCATATGAAATATACATCACAGTGAGATAATTAATATATGTAAATTATTCTTAGGAGCCTTGTATAATTTCAATGTATTTGTGGCCAACAACAGACATGTAAGTTAGGTTGCCAGTAGCCAGATAGCTCAGTTTGCAGAGCACCTGAGTTCAGGGGTCTGGGTTTGAATCCTGGTCTGATCTATAAATTTTTCTGTTACATTTGGTGCCATTGAAACTGGGACTAAAAATACTAGCAGGTAAAAGTCCTGCAAGGGGCTAAGGAATCTGGATTGGTGTTTTGAACTTTTGAACTTTTCACTAGTTCAGGGGCAAAGACATTTAAGGAGGAGCGTGGTGGTCAGACAGGTTTGATCATCAGTGGCCAGACAACTCAGTTGGTGTAGCACCTCTTTAGACTTCAGGAGACCTGGTTTCCAGGTTCTGTTCTGGTCTGTCGCTGTTTTTGCCTTCCTGTTAGATATTTAAAACTTAATTCCAAAATATTATGTTTTTCTTATATATGTAATTTTGTAACTTTGGGGTGAAAATTAATGTTAATCACACCTAGTTCTTTGAATTTTACTTGACTGTAAACATTTTATTTTTAACCTGCTTATGTATTGTTTAAAACTAAAAGCACTGACCAAATTTACAAGGTTTCAAGATTTCAATTTGGGACATACCTTGCCACCTTGTCATTCTTTGGACTTCTTCTTAGAGCTATAATGTTTAAGATGGTATTATTCATAGTGTCTACATCAATGAACCCAAATTGTTCCCCTGAGTTGTTTCTTGTTAGTTCTTAGAACTTATATGAAGCTATTTCTGATCATGCTTTGCAGGAGAGTATTTAAGCATTGAATCATTGTTTTTTGAAAGATATAGTCTCATAACTGCAACAGTGTGTGCAAACAAATTGGGTAACACGCGTTAGCGCGTTATGAAAATTTGTTTGCACACACCGTTGCAGTTATGAGACTATATCTTTCAAAAAATAATGATTTAATGCTTATATTAACATTTTTTATCTCCTTTCATTGACTACAAAGTGATTTATATTTCAAAATCCTAGAATTATCCTTCGGGTAGGTTACAATAATTGGAAGAGCCGTTGCAACAGTTTCAGTTCAATGTGAGCGTGAATTTTGATTTTCGCTTACGACGTTGCACTTCCACGGCATTCAACTTTTGTGACGTCAAAATAAAACGCATACTTTAACCCTTTGACCCCCTTTTCGTGTTATGGTGTTTTGAATGCAGTAGCTTTCCTCACACTTTATAAGCAAAATACATGTTGAATGTAAATATATCCTTTTTAAATCCTTAACTTTCTTTACTTCAGGAACTAATGCAAAACATATATGTTTTGAAAAAGGACATTACACCCCAAGAAAAAGAGGCAATGAAAGATATCAAGTCTTCTGTCCAGCAAGCATGGGCAATCAGAGGTAAACAAGCATGGGCAATCAGAGGTAAACAAGCATTGGGCAAACAGAGGTAAACAAGCATGGACAATCAGAAACTGTAAACAAGCATGGGCAATCAGAGGTAAACAAGCATGGGCAATCAGAGGAAAATAAGCATGGACAATCAGAGGTTAACAAGCATGGGCAATCAGAGGTAAACAAGCATGGACAATCAGAGGTAAACAAGCATGGGCAATCAGAGGTAAACAAGCATGGACAATCAGAGGTAAACAAGCATAGACAATCAGAGGTTAACAAGCATGGGCAATCAGAGGTAAACAAGCATGGGCAATCAGAGGTAAACAAGCATGGGCAATCAGAGGAAAATAAGCATGGACAATCAGAGGTTAACAAGCATGGGCAAACAGAGGTAAGGAAAGCATGGCCAAACAGAGGTAAACAAGCATGGCCAAACAGAGGTAAACAAGCATGGCCAAACAGAGGTAAACAAGCATGGACAAACAGAGGTAAACAAGCATGGGCAATCAGAGGTAAACAAGCATGATCATTCAGAGGTAAACAAGCATGGGCAAAGATGGGTAAACAAGCATGGGCAAAGTTGGGTAAACAAGCATGGGCAAAGATGGGTAAACAATCATTGGCAAACAGAGGTAAATAAGTATGACCAAACAGAGGTAAATAAGCATAGACAAACAGAAGTAAACAAGCATAGACAAACAGAAGTAAATAAGCATGGACAAAAAGAAGTAAATAAGCATGGACAAACAGAAGTAAATAAGCATGGACACACAGAAGTAAATAAGCATGGACAAACAGAAGTAAATAAGCATGGACAAACAGAAGTAAATAAGCATAGACAAATAGAGGTAAATAAGCATGGACAAACAGAGGTAACCAAACAGAGGTAACCAACCATCGGCAAACAGAGGTAAACAAGCATTGGCAAATTGGTGTTAAGAAGCATGGACATTATGGGGTAGACAAGTATGAGCAAACAGGGGTAAACAAGCATGGACAAATAGAGGTAAATAAGCATGCAAAGAGAATGATTAATGAAAAGGTTGTCAAGTAGATCATTAGCTCACCTGAGCTGAAAGCTCAAGTGAGCTTTTCTGATCACCCGTTGTCCGTCGTCCGTCCGTCTGTCCGTCTGTCCGTCCGTCCGTCCGTCCGTCCGTCTGTCTGTCTGTAAACTTTTCACATTTTCAACTTCTTCTCAAGAACCACTGGGCCAATTTTAACCAAACTTGGTACAAAGTATCCTTGGGTGAAGGGGAGTGTAAATTGTTAAAATAAAGGGCCAAGTCCCCTTACAAGGGGAGATAATCAAGAAAAGACAAAAATAGGGTGGGGTCATTAAAAAATCTTCTTCTCAAGAACCACTGGGCCAGAAAAGCTGAAACTTATGTGGAAGCATCCTGGGATAGTGTAGATTCTAAATTGTTAAAATCATGACCCCCGGGGGTACGGCGGGGCCACAATAGGGAATCCAAGTTTTACATTGAAATACATAAGAAAAATCTTTAAAAATCTTCTTCTCAAGAACCACTGGGCCAGAAAAGCTGAAACTTATGTGGAAGCATCCTGGGGTAGTGGAGATTATAAATTGTTCAAATCATGACCCCCAGGGATAGGGCGGGGCCACAATAGGGAATCGAAGTTTTACATTGAAATACATAAGAAAAATCTTTAAAAATCTTCTTCTCAAGAACCACTGGGCCAGAAAAGCTGAAACTTATGTGGAAGTATCCTGGGGTAGTGGAGATTATAAATTGTTCAAATCATGACCCCCAGGGGTAGGGCGGGGCCACAATAGGGAATCCAAGTTTTACATTGAAATACATAAGAACAATCTTAAAAAATCTTCTTCTCAAGAACCACAGGGCCAAAAATACTGAAACTTAGATGGAAGCATCCTGGGGTAGTGTAGATTCTAAATTGTTCAAATCATGACCCCTGGGGGTAGGGCGGGGCCACAATAGGGAATCCAAGTTTTACATTGAAATATATAGGAAAAATCTTCTTCTCAAGAACCACTGGGCCAGAAAAGCTGAAACTTATATGGAAGCATCCTGGGGTAGTGTAAATTATAAACTGTACAAATCATGACCCCCGGGGGTAGGGCAGGACCACAGTAGGGAATCCAAGTTTTACATTGAAATATATAAGAAAAATCTTTAAAAATCTTCTTCTCAAGAACCACTGGGCCAGAAAAGCTGAAACTTATGTGGAAGTATCCTGGGGTAGTGGAGATTATAAATTGTTCAAATCATGACCCCCAGGGGTAGGGCGGGGCCACAATAGGGAATCCAAGTTTTACATTGAAATACATAAGAACAATCTTAAAAAATCTTCTTCTCAAGAACCACAGGGCCAAAAATACTGAAACTTAGATGGAAGCATCCTGGGGTAGTGTAGATTCTAAATTTTTCAAATCATGACCCCTGGGGGTAGGGCGGGGCCACAATAGGGAATCCAAGTTTTACATTGAAATATATAGGAAAAATCTTCTTCTCAAGAACCACTGGGCCAGAAAAGCTGAAACTTATATGGAAGCATCCTGGGGTAGTGTAAATTATAAACTGTACAAATCATGACCCCCGGGGGTAGGGCAGGACCACAGTAGGGAATCCAAGTTTTACATTGAAATATATAAGAAAAATCTTTAAAAATCTTCTTCTCAAGAACCACTGGGCCAGAAAAGCTGAAACTTAGATGGAAGCATCCTGGGGTAGTGTAGATTATAAATTGTTCAAATCATGACCCCCAGGGGTAGGGCGGGGCCACAATAGGGAATCGAAGTTTTACATTGAAATACATAAGAAAAATCTTAAAAAATCTTCTTCTCAAGAACCACTGGGCCAGAAAAGCTGAAACTTATATGGAAGCATCCTGGGGTAGTGTAGATTATAAACTGTACAAATCCTGACCCCCGGGGGTAGGGCGGGGCCACAATAGGTATATTAAAAGGGGGGAAATCTGGTAAAGAACAGCATGGCCAAAGTTACTCAGGTGAGCGATGTGGCCCATGGGCCTCTTGTTTTTTAGTGACCGTTGCTTGACTGCCTTTTGAAATTTTGATCAAGTATGTACTTGAAAACTTGAAAAAAATTCCCAGACTTAAGAATATGGAAGCATTTTTGCTACTAACTGATAAAGAGACTATGCCATATTATTTCATTGAATTAATTGAATCCACGATAATTTCCGATAAAGGAATAAGAAATCTTTGCTGTCTCTTTTCAGCCATACCATGTGTTTTGTTTGGTTACCTTCAAATCGCTGGTAAGTCTATATTTGTTTTATAATTACAAGTATCAGTAAATTAAATTTGATAATGTAAACATGAAACAATTAAAATAAAGTATGAAAGCCCTAGCATCAACTGTTCAAAAGTTACGACCAAGATTAAAGTTTTTCAAAAGGAGGTTTAACTCCAAGGTCAAGGTCAAAGGGTCAAAGTTCTTGGTATCCAAAGGAAGGTCTTGTCACAAGGATTACATATGTGAAGTATGAAAGCCCTAGCACCAACTGTTCAAAAGTTATGACCAAGGTTAATGTTGGGTAAAATTTTGCAAAACTGGGCCAAACTCCAAGGTCAAGGTCAAAAGGTCAAATATGATGGTACCCAAAGAAAGGTCTTGTCAAAAGGAATACATGTGTGAAATATGAAAGCCATAGCTCCGTTATGGGCAAGGATAAAGTTTTTGCAGACAAACAGACAAACAGACAGACAGATAGACAGACAGGGCAAAAACTACATGCCCCAGAATCTTCGATTAGAGGGGCATAAAAAGGTTATTGAATGAATACCAGGAATTTGTCTGCCTTGGTCCACTTTACCACAGAATGATCTCTGGCAGGCAAATTCCCGCATTCTGTAAATAATCAATAACCTATGATTATTGACTTTTGTTGAGGGTTATAAGGCTTTCTGTATCCAAAGATATTTTACCTCAGCAGGTATCATGTATCTTGATTGTTATCAATCCAAAGAAACATGATGGAATCTCTTTTAATTTGGTCATATTATAAAACATCTCTTCATCATAAGTACATATAACAAGTTACATTATTGGAGAGACAGGAAAATTTTACCCCAGGAACAGTGGGGTAGATATGGCAGTGTAAAATCTGTTGAGAAATATATCAAAATATGTAATGATTGTTTAATATCTCCTTTAAACACTTATTGGAATGTTTGTTTAACGTCCCTTCGAGAATTTTTCACTCATATTTAGATGCCACCACTTGCAGGTGGAGGGCTACAAATTTAGACCTGTACTCGGGACTTAAGGCCTTTGAGCAATGAGGGTCCTTTTTCGTGCCAGCACCTACTGGGATATGGGACCTTGGTTTATATGGTCTCATCCAAAGGACCAGTCTCCATGTCCCACAGTGGGATTTGAACCTGCAATGCAAGGATCAACTCCTCACTCCATGACTCTAAAGCAAACGCTCTAACCACTGCACCACACCGGCGACCATTGGAATGTAGATATGGGTTTATCATGTGATCAAATTCCATTACCGGGGTAAGTTTGAATGGCTTTATAGTGGATTTGATCATGGACCAACCCATATCTATATCCCAGTACTGAATAGAAGTTACAAAAATGATACCTTATTTCTTTATATACACATTTGTGATGGCTTATAACAAATATTTGCATATTTATAATCTTAAAATCATAAAATGTTCTGTTTTTAGCTCACCTGAGCTGAAAGCTCAAGTGAGCTTTTCTGATCACCCATTGTCCGTCGTCTGTCTAGCTGTCCGTGCGTCTGTAAATTTTTCATATTTTCAATTTCTTCTCAAGAACCACTGGGCCAATTTTAACCAAACTTGGTACAAAGCATCCTTGGGTGAAGGGGAGTTTAAATTTTAAAATGAAGGGCCAAGCCCCCTTCCAAGGGGAGATACTATATACAGGGAAAATTTTGCCCCCGTTTTAATTTCACCCCTTTCACCGTAGACAAAAGAAGGCAAATTTAAGACGGGGTGAATTCAAAGAAAACAGTATAACTTCTTAAACGAAACTGTGACAGGGCGTATTTAAAATGGGGCAAAATTGTTTGCAAGTGTAAAATGGTGAAAATAACACGGCGCGAAAATAACCCTGTACACAGTAATCAAGAAAAGACAAAAATAGGGTGGGGTCATTAAAAAATCTTCTTCTCAAGAACCACTGGGCCAGAAAAGCTGAAATTTATGTGGAAGCATCCTGGGGTAGTGTAGATTCTAAATTGTTCAAATCATGACCCCTGGGGGTAGGGCGGGGCCAAAATAGGGAATCCAAGTTTTACATTGAAATATGTAGAAAAAATCTTTAAAAAAATCTTCTTCTCAAGAACCACTGGGCTGAAAAAGCTGAAACATAAGTGGAAGCATCCTGGGGTAGTGTAGTTTCTAAATTGTTCAAATCATGACCCCTGGGGGTAGGGTGAAGCCACAATAGGGAATCCAAGTTTTACTTTGAAATATGTAGAAAAAATCTTTAAAGTTCTTCTTCACAAGAACCACTGGGCCAGAAAAGCTAAAACTTATGTGGAAGCATCCTGGGGTAGTGTAGATTCTAAATTGTTCAAATCATAACCCTGGGGGGTAGGGTGGGGCCACAATATGGAATCCAAGTTTTACATTGAAATATGAAGAAAAAATCTTTAAAAATCTTCTTCTCAAGAACCACTGGGCAAAAAAAGCTGAAATTTATGTGGAAGCATCCTGGGGTAGTGTAGATTGTAAATTGTTCAAATCATAACTCCAGGGGGTAGGGCGGGGCCACAATAGGGAATCCAAGTTTTACATTGAAATATGTAGAAAAAATCTTTAAAAATCTTCTTCTCAAGTACCACTGGGCCAGAAAAGCTGAAACTTATGTGGAAGCATCCTGGGATAGTGTAGATTCTAAATTGTTCAAATCATAACCCTGGGGGGTAGGGTGGGGCCACAATATGGAATCCAAGTTTTACATTGAAATATGTAGAAAAAATCTTTAAAAATCTTCTTCTCAAGAACCACTGGGCAAAAAAAGCTGAAATTTATGTGGAAGCATCCAGGGGTAGTGTAGATTGTAAATTGTTCAAATCATAACTCCAGGGGGTAGGGCGGGGCCACAATAGGGAATCCAAGTTTTACATTGAAATATGTAGAAAAAATCTTTAAAAATCTTCTTCTCAAGTACCACTGGGCCAGAAAAGCTGAAACTTATGTGGAAGCATCCTGGGATAGTGTAGATTCTAAATTTTTCAAATCATAACCCTGGGGGATAGGGTGGGGCCACAATAGGGAATCCAAGTTTTACATTGAAATATGTAGAAAAAAATCTTTAAAAATCTTCTTCTCAAGAACCACTGGGCCAGAAAAGCTGAAACTTATGTGGAAGCATCCAGGGGTAGTGTAGATTCTAAATTGTTCAAATCATAACCCCAGGGGATAGGGCGGGGCCACAATAGGGAATCCAAGTTTTACATTGAAATACAGGTGACTCTCGATGGCTCGAACTCCGATCTCTCGAAGTTCTCGATCTCTCGAAGTGAACCTCCGGTCCCGTTTTTTTCCTCTATATAACTAAGCAAATTTAATTCTGATCTCTCGAACTTCCAATCTCTCGAAGTTCTCTATCTCTCGAACCAAGACCTGGGTCCCATTACACATATTTCATTGTTTTTTACTCTCTATCTCTCGAAGTTTTGATTGCGCGTGTGTACATGCCAATCAAGCGTAAAATTAATGCAGCTTGGACTTACCTGGATAATCATGAACGCCTGGGGCTGGCATGGAGGTTCTAATTGGGTGTTTACATAGATGACGTTATACCTGTGAGCATCCGAGTGTTGATATAAATAATTAATTGATTATAAAGGAATTGCTTCACAACTTATTTTGACTTGACAGCGAGACGAAAATTTTTAGAAAATAATTTAAGAGGCGTGTCAATAATTTTCCATAGATTATGAAGTTTTATTAGTGTGTACATAATCCCAGTATGACAAACATTGCGCAAATAATCCTATCTCAAGAATTAAATACCGATTTAATACGAGAAATCTGGTGAAAGACCCGATCAAGCCCGGGGGTAGCTACACCGATGATTGCTATTCAGATTTTGTGTAATCATGAAATGAAAACAAATAGATATTGAAACTTAAAGAGATCAATTAATTTATTGAAAATACGTTCATTGTTGTTGAAATCAAGTGAATTACCTGTAAAATACGAATGAAAACGTGCAATGACATTATCAACATAATACTTCCGGTATTTATAATAGTAGAACAATGATGATTGAAACTGAAAATTCCGGATTTTATTCACTTTCTATCTCTCGAACCCCTCGATCTCTCGAACTTTTCTTGCGGTCCCTTGAACTTCGAGAGACCGAGAGTCACCTGTATGTAGAAAAAATCTTTAAAAATCTTCATCTCAAGAACCACTGGGCAAAAAAAGCTGAAACTTATGTGGAAGCATCCTGGGGTAGTGTAGATTCTAAATTTTTCAAATCATGACCCCGGGGGGTAGGGTGGGGCCACAATATGGAATCCAAGTTTTACATTGAAATATGTAGAAAAAATCTTTAAAAATCTTCTTCTCAAGTACCACTGTGCTGGAAAAGCTGAAACTTATGTGGAAGCATCCTGGGGTAGTGTAGATTATAAATTGTTCAAATCATAACCCTGGGGGGTAGGGTGGGGCCACAATAGGGAATCCAAATTTTACATTGAAATATGTAGAAAAAATTTTTAAAAATCTTCTTCTCAAGTACCACTGTGCTGGAAAAGCTGAAACTTATGTGGAGGAAGCATCCTTGGGTAGTGTAGATTCTAAATTGTTCAAAGCATAACCCTGTGGGGTAGGGTGGGGCCACAATATGGAATCCAAGTTTTACATTGAAATATGTAGAAAAAATCTTTAAAAATCTTCTTCTCAAGAACCACTGTGCTGGAAAAGCTGAAACTTATGTGGAAGCATCCTGGGGTAGTTTAGATTCTAAATTGTTCAAATCATGACCCAAGGGGTTAGGGCAGGGCCAGTAAAGGGAATCCAAATTTTACATTGAAATATGTAGAAAAAATCTTTAAAAATCTTCTTCTCAAGAACCACTAGACCAGGTTAAGCTGAAACTTATATGGAACCATCCTGGAGAAGTGTAGATTCTAAATTGTTCAAATTATGACCCCGGGGGTAGGGCGGGGCCACAATATGGAATCCAAGTTTTACATTGAAATATGTAGAAAAAATCTTTATAAATCTTCTTCTCAAGAACCACTGGGCCAGAAAAGCTGAAACTTATGTGGAAGCATCCTGGGGTAGTGTAGATTCTAAATTGTTCAAATCATGACCCCCAGGGGTAGGGTGGGGCCACAACAAGTACTACAAGGAGGGAAATCAGGTGAAAAACAACAAGGCCAAAGTTACTCAGGTGAGTGTAGTGGCCCATGGGCCTCTTGTTTAAAACCCGTTGGTGTACATATTTGATCTGTTGAACATGTCAACCATTTATAATGTCACTGTGAAATTGCATCAACTGTTTATGACTTCACAATGAATTTGTAGTCATACGTGATGAACTGTATCTATTTAGCGATAAATACACATTGTTCAAACAGTGTTGTAAGGGAAAAAATAAACAAATGTAAATATTTGAGCAATAGATAACATTGCGTGAGGTCTTATAAAAATCCTTTTTTAACAACTATAACCAGAAAAGAAAGTAAAAGCCTTGATGCTGAGCCAATGTTACAATTTGACATAAATCTAGAACAGTTTTATGATTAAATATTATACTTTAAAATACTGTAATTTAAATATGTATAGGCTAAGTTATCTGCATATTATTTGAAAGAGAAATGTGACTCCAATGAGCAGTGTGTGATTTCTTGTTTTAGGAATACCACGTGCACCAGCAAAGATACCAAAACTTCTCAAGTCTTTGAATTTTGGCTCTCATATGTGTAAGTAGTGAAATTTTAGTATAAGTGCTTAATTTATAGGAAATTAAAACTGAAATTGTCTATAGAGTATAAAACTTTTTAAAATTTAGAACATTGCTCACCATAAAAATGAATATTGAGTCAGGAAATTATAGATAAGTAAAGCTGTTGTCAGTAAATTTCAAACATTTTTAAAAACTGATTTTTATCATAAAGTCATCTGAAATGGTTTTCAGTGGTTTTTAATTTTTATTCCTGTACTTTGCATGCACCAAATACCATGTTGGAAACTAATATTTCAGTGCCAAAAGCATGTATAAAATAGTCTGTAAGTTTACAAGAAGGTACAGTATATGCTCAAATGTATTTCCACAAATCATAAATTAAGAGAAGGTAGCCCATACACAGTGTACCAGTATTATACATACCATAGTTCTGGAATATAAAACCTTTGTTCTTAAACAAATTTTTAGCTCATTTGAATGAAGTTGAGGGGAGGTTATGCTGTACTCGGCTTTGGCATCTTTATTACCTGGTATTAATGTCTCAGATATATGCATGGTAGGGCAGAACCACAATGGAGGATCAAAGTTTTACATAGAAATGTATAGGAAAAACATTTTAAAATCTTCTTCTCAAGAACAAAGCCATGATGAGTCATATTTATATGGAAGCATCCTCAGGTAGTGTAGATTCAAGTTCGTTAAAATCATGACCCCTGGGGGTAGGGCAGAACCACAATGGAGGATCAAAGTTTTACATAGAAATATATAGGAAAACCTTTAAAAATCTTCTTCTCAAGAACAGCAAAGCCATGATAAGTCATATTTATATGGAAGCATCCTCAGGTAGTGTAGATTCAAGTTTGTTCAAATCATGACCCCCGGGGATAGGGTGGGGCCACAATCGACTATCGGAGTTTTACATAGAAATATATAGGAAAAATCTTTAAAAATCTTCTTATCAAGAACAGCAAAGCCATGATAGATCATATTTATATGGAAGCATTCTCAGGTAGTGTAGATTCAAATTTATTCAAATCATGACCCCTGGGGGTAGGGTGGGGCCACAATGGAGGATCAAAGTTTTACATAGAAATGTATAGGAAAAACCTTTAAAAATCTTTTTCTCAAGAACAGCAAAGCCCTGATTGATCATATTTATATGGAAGCATCCTCAGGTAGTGTAGATGCTATTTTGTTCAAATGATGACCCTTTGGGGTAGGGCGGGGCCAAATTATGGAGGATCAAAGTCTTAAATAGAAATATATAGGAAAATATCTTTTTCTGAGCAACTGCAAAGCCATGATTAGTCATTTTGATATGTAAGCATCCTCAGGTAGTGTAGATTCAAGTTTGTTAAAATAATGACCCCCGGGGATAGGGTGGGACCACAATGGGGAATCGAAAATTTTACATAGGAACATATAAGAAAATATCTTCTTCTCAAGAACTGAAAATCATGTTTAGTCATTCTGATATGGAAGCAACCTCAGATAGTGTAAATTCAATTTTGTTCAAATGATGACCCCCCCAGGGGGTAGAGTGGGGCCTAATGGGGAATCAAAAGTTTTACATAAGAACATATAGAAAAAATATTTCTTCTCAAGAACAGAAAAGCTATATTTCGTCATATTGATATGGAAGCATCCTCAGGTAGTGTAGATTCAAGTTTGTTCAAATGGAAATGTTCAAATGATGACCCCTTGGATAGGGAGCTCAGCCACAATGGGGATCAAATTTTTACAAAGGAATATATGGGAAATTTTTTTTTTAAATCTTCTCAAGTGCAACAAAGCCATTTGTTATATTGACATAGAAGCATCATCAGGTAGTTTAAAATTCAAGCCCCCCCCCCCAATCTTTTCAATACTGAACCGATTTGTACTTTTGCCTAGCCAATGCGCTCCGGTGAGCAATGTGGCCCATGGGCCTCTTGTTCAAAATGCTACTCCTCTTACAGTTTTGATCCGATTTCAATATAACTTGGTACACAAGTAGACTACACTAAGATACATAATTCTTTTTGTCAGATTCTGATTTTGGTGGATGCGATTGGTATGGTTACTAAAAATAGAAATTTCTGTGAAATTCTTTCAAAACACTACTCCCTCCTGCAGTTGTGATCTGATCTCAGTATATCTGGATACACAAGTAGACTATAATAAGATAGATAATTCTGTATATTAGTTCTTTCAAAGGCTACCCCTCCTACAGTTTTGGTCAGAGTTCAATAAAACTATGTACACAATAGATACACTATGACATAAAATTCTTTTTATCCAATCTTATTAGATTGCTTTTTATCATTTTTTGATTTTGATGTACGGTTTTGTCATGGTTACTAAAAATAGAAATTTCAAAGAATTTCTTTCAAGAATGCTACTCCTCCTATAATTTTGGTCCAATTTCAGTAAAACTTGGTACACAAGTAGACTTCACTAAAATACATAATCCTGTGTATTGCTTTTTTTTTTATTTTATCAAACGGTATTGCCTTGTTTACTAAAAATAGAAATTTCTGTGAAATTCTTTTAAAAGGCTCCTTCTACAACAGTTTTTGTCCAATTGCAATTTGTCACAAAAAGAGATGATACCAAGGATCATTATTTTATTTGTTGGTGTTGCCATAATTTCAAGTCCAAGTGCTACTTTTCTCTACCTTTGTTAAGTAAAAACCAGTAGAGCTACAATCTCATCAGAGACTTCTGTTTGATATGTGTAATGTAAAAATTGTAATGAAGAAATCAACTAAGGCATTTTCTTAAAAATTCAATTGGTCCGAAACTTTGACAGCCTCACTCATAGCTAACATTTACTGAGGCTAGCTTAGCAAGCTTTGTTTACCTCAAAGATTTTTAATATTTCCTTAATAATGGAATTTCATTTTGGAATTATAGATGCCATTGTCTTTGGATTATGTCTTGGTTATGGTCTAACACCTAGACGAAAGATAATTAAAGAAGTCTTACATAAACACAACATAACCACAGATCACAATCTAGGAAAACTGATTGCAATGGATGAAGAGTAAGTACCATCATTTTCTACTCTTTGTAATACCTCTCCAGATGTTCACTTAACATACAGATATAAAGAAGAGAAAGGATGTGAATTTAGTGTCTTTTATATTTCATTTTATGACTTTCTGTAGGGAGCATTCTTCTTCAACAGTGCCACTCTATAACTACCAGAGTGCTCAGAAGGCATATAACACAGAGATGAAGAAAGGTCAAGATAATCAAGTTTGGTCACCTCTGAATCAATTCCAGAAGACAGAGGAAACACAAGGTATATCAGTTTGAAAATGGGGAATTTTGCAGTCCTAAGAATTGTAACAATCTTCACCAGAGGGGGATCCAGCAATTTTTGAAAAGGGGTTCCAGGGTGGTGCCCCCCCCCCCCCACTCAAAGAGAGAATCTTATGCACAGGAAGAGAAATACCCTCTAATACATACAACTTTTAATGACTTATTTATGTCAGTTCCTTCAGAAAATGGTCCAAAAATGGTATAACCAGAGTTTGTTGGAATCTTCCAATGAACTTCATATGGTTACTAAAGATAGAAATTTCTGTGAAATACTTTCAAAACACTTCTACAATTTGGTCTGATTTTAATGTAACTTGGCATGCAAGTAGATTACACTGATATAAATAATTGTCTTCATCATTTTTTTTTATATTGATGAATGATGTTGCCATGGTTACTCAAATCGAAATTTCAGTAAAATTCTTTTAAAAGGCTATTCTCCCTACAGTTTTATTCTGATTGCAGTATTCTATTTATTGCTGCTGCAAAGTTTCAAGTCCAAGTGCAACTTTTCTCTTCCTTTGTTATAAGTTCAAACCAGTTAGAGACTTCTGGTTTAGGGATAACAATTGAATCAGATACTCTTGTAGCAAATTAAAGATTATAACTATTATTCTCTTGCAGAACCAGATGATGGATTTGAAGATTTTTATGCTAAAAAACGAGGTATTTCTTTAATCATCAATTTCAAGAGGGAAAATGAAGTACATGTATTATGATAGTTTACCACATGTGATCAAGATTATTGACTAGCTGTTGCCTTGCTTAAAATAAAATTGTATAAAATGTATTAGACATTTATTTTACAAATACAGTATATACATGAGTAAATTTCATGGAACTGTAATTTGGGAGGCTGGAAGTAACTGTATGTAATATCCAGGTGAAGGAAGGCTGTTTAGAAGAGGTAAAATAATATAGGTATAGATGGTTTTAAGTTGGTGAGATTTTGTTTGTCATTTCAGGTAGAAAAACCAATGCTTATGGAGATGAACTGGACTAACAGTTTGATTGTCTTATGGAACAGAGAGTGTGTTATAGTTTTGCAGCCAGATTTGTCATCACGTTCATTTCATAAATTGGAATGCATTTCATGATAAAACTGCAGGCACAGTGTTTTCTACCAGATGAGACAAAATCTATCAGACAGACATGTGACTATAATAACTGTGGAATAGAGAGATATTTTGCAAGACTTTTAGATATCTGGTTCATAATTTGCATTTCATATGATATCTTTTCCTGTTTATTCCACAAAGTGGCCTATGAGATACAGATTTTCATATTTTAACACACAATAGTTGTATGCTCTTTTTTTGTTAAACCTCCTTATATTGAGCTGAATATTGGTGTGTGGATATTTGAAGATGGGTAGAGGTTTGAGTACTATATGGCCTACTTTATCACAATTAAACATGTAAACATTCTGAAAATTAAATTAAAAAAAATTGTAAATATGCCATTTTCGCTGTTTTTTTTTTTGTTTTGTTTTTGTTTTTTTGTTTTTGAATTTGCATGGTGTACATTTGAACTGAATTTTGTTCGGTATGATGAGTTGAAAATTAAGTCTGTACATACTTCATCCAGGGATGCTAATTCTCAAATTTGTTTTAATTTGGTTCAAAATGTATCTTTTTTCAAGTGACAATTTTCATCTTATGGTTCTAAATATGAATTTTAGATTTTTTTTAACCTTTGAAAGTGAACTGGAAAAATTAAGGCTTAAGTCAGGGGTTCTGGTCTTGATAAGGGTGTATTGATAATACAGTGAAAATGCATTATTTCTTTGAAAATCATCTTCTCTTCTCCAGGGTATTATTTAAACAAACTAAGTGCATGGTTATGAAGCAAGGATGTTTCTTTCAAAATTGTGAAATTCATGGCCCCAGTAAAACATGTAATTATGCAAGATGGTCTACTCAGGAAAATTTCATTCTCATGTATAATTTTATTATCATAGGATATTTACAGCAATAAACAGAATTTGTGAAAATTTGTCAAATACATATCTCACTAAAATAAGGTGTAGTGAAAAATTGATGATCTACAGTACTTCAGTGGATCTTTTACAGTGTTGTATTATATTCAGGTGACCGGTTAGGCCCATGGGCCTCTTATCTGCAAAAAATACTCACTCGGACTTTTTTTTCTATCTACACAGCCAACTTCATCTTCACTAGCCAAGGGTTTTTGGTCCACTCTGCTCCCCTGAAAACCCTTGGCTAGAGTTTATGGGGAGCAGAGTGGACTGAAAACCCTTGGCTAGCGAAGATGAGCCAACCTGTGCTAGAGCATTTGATTTGTTTCATTGAAAATATATATGTTTCTCCTTACCTCATTCCGATATCATATTCATATACTGGTATAATGCTGTGTGAATTGCTTCTCATGAAGCATTGGTTTCAGGAGGAAGATTTAAGATTAGTTAATTAATTAAAGATAAGCTGATATCTATGCATGCATATCTGCATGTCTATGTATTGACTTCCAATTTTCACTTTCAAAAGATTTTTTTTTATCTTTATAAAGCTTACCATTTCCATTTTTTGTAGTAAAAGTGTCTAAAGTCATGTCTTGGTGTTTAATTAAGTCATCAACTTTTTAATAGAGGAAGAAGGAAGCGAGTGGATGGTAAACCTTTAACGTCACTTACGGTACTTTTGAATCTGATGATATACAAGATCTGGGTACAACAATATGAATTTCAACATAAAAATAAACTTTGAACAGTCCAGATAATTCAAAAAATAAATAAATAAATAAACACAGGACACTAGGATACTTTATAACAATACCATAGTAAAGATAACTGAAAGCATGAAAATTAAGACACATGTGAGAGATTTATTAGATTTTTGGCTGAACTGATCAGAAAATGAGCGCTGAAAGTAAAATCAAAATGATGTTGGTACTGTAATGTTGACATGTGGCGATAGACGAAAGCTAACCAGAAAATGGTGTGATTATAGTGGATTTATTTACTTAAAATTCTACGTGTATGTGAAAAATTCATTTCTTTAATAGGTATCACCAGCTATCTTTGTTAATTTTATGATATTATAAAATTACCCAATTTTCTGACAGCAAATTACATGTATTCTTTCTTATATCGTGTATATATATATATAACAAATTAAATAAGTGCAATATGCTTAATATAACAAACTGAAATTTATAGTTTTCAAAAGTTTCCCAAAATAATAGAATATAATTACACATGTTTTTAATATATAAGTTTAAAGGGTATAAATTTTTTTTAAAAAAAGTGTCGTATAGACTTGCTCAAGTCTGAGTTGGTTTTATTTCATTTATTTTTTAGCTCACCTGAGCTGAAAGCTCAAGTGAGCTTTTCTGATCACCTGTTTTCCAGCCGTCCATAAACTTTTCACATTTTCAACTTCTTCTTAAGAACCACTGGGCCAATTTTAACCAAACTTGGTACAAAGTATCCTTGGGTGAAGGGGAGTTTTAATTATTAACATCAATTCTTTGTAAGGACCAAAAATGCTTGGCCACGCACTATCATGGAATTTTATTTTATCACTATAATATTAGAGAGTGCCCTATATAAAGACTATTGGTGGGTAAATTTTGGACAGTACCTCCTTGGTTTCCATAGCAACGACTTTGAAATATTTTGTTATGGCAAAACTGACCTGATTGTCATCACCATGTAAAATAATTCCGTGCTTCCTTAATGTAGGAAAGTTGTCAACATAACATGGGTTTCATTTTATAGCTAAGTAATTAAAGTTTCTGTGCATCTAAATTTTATTCAATTTAACTCAAGGTTTTTAATATGATACAGATCAATTTACATGAATTTGTCATAAAAATGAATACAAAGGCAACTATTTCTTGAGATGCATATTAATTTTTGCAGGCAATTGAAACTTAGAAAAAAGATATTTTTAGTAAGATCGAGCTTAGATCTAAAAGATGCAGAAAGATTTGAGGTGGGGAAATCAGTTAAAAGTCCTATTCCAATCCCCTCAAATTATAACTTTTCCTAAAAGTTAACCTAAGAGTTATTTCCCTTTGCTGACTCTTTTGCACTGAAGACAAAAAATTAAACTGGTGTTATTTCCCTTTGTTGACTCTCCTGTATTGAAGTCTAAAGAAGTTTATAACAACATGTGGCAAAAACAGACGCCAGAAAAATAAACAATTGAAACTATAACAGAAAAATTATGTGTGTTTCAACTTTTTAAAACGGAATTCAGGTGTGAATGACAAAGTAAGTCATCAAAAGAGGGACACACTGCTTTCTCAGCATTCAACTTGATAATGATGCACAGGTCTTTATTAATAATAGATTTTTAAAGTCAAATTCACTTTGCGAAATATTGAAACAAATTTTATGAAGTCTGACTTGCATTCCCATTGGGATTCCATGTACTTTCTAAAACCCATGAGAAAAATGCAAAATGCAATCGGAGGAATACAACAAGCAGAAGATACGGCAGTCAGTGGGAATGGTTAGAACAACCCTAGGCACAGGTATAAATTCGAATTTTTTCAAATATTCATTTTGTATAAAAACTACATGTAAGAAGCTTTTTCAATTAAATTGACATGATTTTTAAATTAAATATTTTTTTTTAATATAATACATGTAGACTTAATTGGTCTATATTCAAAGATCACCATGTTAGCAGGACATTCTAGATATACATCTTAAACAAGTAATATTTTTGCATTATAGGAATTTGTGCTTGCTTCAGAAAGCAACTTACTTTGGCAAATCATAAGTACAAAGTTTATCAAAAGGAGGAGAATGTTATAGAAGATGTAAGTTTGTATGTAATGAAAAATATACACAAGGCAATTTAATATAAAAAAAAACATATATTTTTGGTAACGTTGTACACAGTGGCTCATCCAGGAATCTTGAAAAGGGGGAGGAACCAGTTTGGTGTCGGGGTAGGGGCTCAAGGCCACACCAAAAAATTGATTTATTAAATCTGATGTATATTTTGGACACAAAAGGGGGTGGGGGTGGGGGTGGGCCCCCCTCTAAATCTGCCAGTGGTACAGTTTAAAATCTGATTTGGCCAAAAAAGTAGTACCGGTAGGTGGTGGGTAAAAATTAGAGATGGTCGACTTAATGGAAACACATAGAAAATTTTTTTAGCTTAAAAAGAAGTCATATAATTCAGATTCACTGTAAAAGAAGAAAACATATTTAACTGTATTCTCTATTGAGAAGTTGATGGCTCGTTTTAATACTCTCCCTGAGGGGGAGTATTAAAACGAGCCATCAGCTTCTCAATAGAGAATAATTTAACTGCAGCTATAAATACACACTAATAAGATATAAATATAATATACCCATGTAAATGTATGTATTCATGATTGACAATTAGAATTAATTTCTTTAATTTAAAAAAAAATATTTTAAACATATTTTAGATGTACTGGTGCTTTGAAAAAAAAGAAGATGAAAAGATACCGGTACATAAAGAGAACCTTTATTCTTGTGTTTTTATCATCTTTATTTCAACACAAAGGCTAAATACCAGAAGCAGGAGGCAGTTAACTAATGGAGAAAGAAACTTGCAATTGACCGTGAGAACTGAACATCGGACAGTATCTTAACTGAACAATATTCTTTTGGAGAAGATTCTGTTAGAGCATGGGGACAGCATTTGGAGTAGGTGATGGTAAATTGTTTCAGTTACTTTTACCTTGCAATTGCATGGTACACTGAAAATACTGTATGTGTACATAAATTGGCGTATTCAAAATTTAGCGCAATCACTGGGTATGGAGTGGTTGGCGTAATCATGAATTAGCGCTACATACGTCTGCGCCATGTATTGTATTTATTAATGGTTTATTTACGGTGTTCGTTAATTAGCAAATTGTTGTCTGCGTTCAAGGCGATAGAATATGAAGAACAGGTGCTTGAGGATGGGACCCCCTCCCCCGCGTTCCGTACCCCAAGGGTTCTCCCCGACTTTTTTTAATAGAATATATTTCTATGACACATTCACAAAGTATTACAATTGAAAAATCCAAAATATAATTTAAGACTAACCTTTTAAAAAAATTCATACTTTCTGATACTAAAAGTTCTCTTTTAGTATCCAAGAGTATGAATTTTTATAAAAATAAATAAAACAATGAACTTCATGTGTATAAACTATAAAAGAAGATGGATTAACTGGAACCAGATATTTGAAAACATAAACATATAGATAAATTTATGTCATCTACATTATTATTTTAGTATATCTTGTGTATTCATATTTTTTTTAATTTCATGTTTATTCCTAAAAATCTGTATGTAACCATTCCAGCCGTGGTGTATCTGTGTTTGTGTATGTGTATGTATGTTTGTTTATGTCTAAAGTCAATTAAAAAAAAAAACAAAAAAAAAACGTTGGAAATGAGTCATAGAAAAATATTTTATATAAAAAAAGGCGAGGAGAACCCTTGGGGTATGGAACGCAGGGGGGGGGGGGGGGACGTGATAGGAAGCCTGCTTTTTAAAGTACACATGCAGGAATTCTGAGGCAATTTATTTGGAGGTGTAAATACTAACTACTAGCTTAGTATTATATACATTTTAATAAAAATAGATATGCTTATTTACTTGTATTTGTTATCACATGAAAAATGTAGTAGATATTAAACAATTGATTTTTTAATAGTAAATGTACATGTATGTTTTTTTATTCCAGGGGAAAAGATGATTATTTCAAGTTTCACTTTTCAAACCCATTTAAAATTCTTCTTGACTGGTCAGACACAACACCACATAATGGCCAACCTCTGATGTAAAGAGAAATCATGGAAACATCAAGCCTACCTGTTTCTATTGTCTACAAAATTGCTATATAGCAGTCATTTTCTACATTTTGTTTATCTCTAAATACATATTTTGGATAATGTTTAGATGTAGATTCTTGCTTGATTAATAATTTGAAAAAAAAAACTGTTTTTAAAAGTAACGATAAATTTATACATATACATATGAATATGTGTATGTTTTTTGATTGTAAGAATATACATTAATGGTTTTATTTTTAATGGGGTGTTAATTTATGGTCAATCTAAATAATTCTAAATTTCTTTATCCAAATAAAATTGATATCTAAAGATTTGCATCTGGGAACAAGCAAAATTTAAATGGAGGAAATTAACATTAGCTTATCAAATTTCAAACCTGCTAAATTAATATCTACCTACCTATGCATGAAAATTAGTAATAATTTATTATTTATTTATTTTTTTGGTTGAAAAGTATCATTAGAGTTTTTATCCATTATCTTTTTCCATTTTTTATGCAGTATTTGAAAACATTGTTGTTTACTGAAATAAGTTCCAGTGAAAAGTTGAATGGCTAATTTTCTTTAGATTTTGAGTTACCTGCCCTTTGTAAAGGATCATAGAGAAACAATAATAATTCATTTAATTTTGTTTTATCTTATTTATTATCTTTAATAATATTTACTTATCATTCCGTTTGTCTTATCTATTCGTGAGAAAAATGTTTGGAAAAGAAATTTTATAAAACAACCAGAGTCTAGTAACATTTTGAACAAAATATTATTTGGCAAAATGCCAATTTTCGAAGTTAAAAGTACCAAAAACGAAAAAAATCCCCACTCTACTTTTCATAAAAATTAACTAATATTATTATGGTGTTTCTAAAATTTCAGGTGATTTTTTCTTGAATTGCCTGCATTTCTTGAAAGACTTCCTGAAATATAGGGTAAAAACGACCATTTTCAAAATGTAAGAATTTGGTCATCTTTGAGCCATCAATTGAAGAATTTGCAGTGACTTGTAGATTTTTTTTTAATTGTGTTATATAGTGCTTCACTTGTTCTATTCATGTAATGTATGAATTATCTCAAAATAATAAAGATGATTAAACCACATGAAATCAAGTATATAGCATTTTTATGCTTGAATTGAGAGTAAATGGGGCAAAAATCTATATTAGCCCGTTACCATGGCAACCAAGGTAGTAACCTTAATTTTGAATGTTGATTATGTCATAATGTATGGGCATTAACCACCTGAAAAAGTTTCATGAAAATCGCTCATGGTGTGTGCCACAGCCCTACAGTAAAATTTTGGTCCTTACAGAGAATTGATGTTAAAAATGAAGGGCCAAGTCCCCTTACAAGGGGATAAAATCAATAAAAGACAAAAATAGGGTGGGGTCAATAAAAAATCTTCTTTTCAAGAACCACTAGGCAAAAAAAGCTGAAACTTACAAGGAAGCATTCTGGGATAGTGTAGATTCTAAATTGTTCAAATCAGGACCCCCAGGGGTAGGGTGGGGCCACAAAAGGGAATCCAAGTTTTACATTGAAATATATGGGAAAAATCTTTAAAAATCTTCTTCTTAAGAACCACTGGGCCAGAAAAGCTGAAACTTGTGTGGAAGCATCCTCGGGTAGTGAAGATTCTAAATTGTTCAAATCATGACCCTCTGGGGAAGAGCAGGGCCACAATAGGGAATCCAAGTTTTACATTGAAATATATAGAAGAAATCTTTAAAAATCTTCTTCTCAAGAACCACTGGGCCAGAAAATCTGAAACTTATGTGAAAGCATCCTCAGATAGTGTAGATTCTAAATTGTTCAAATCATGACCCCGGGGGATAGGGCAGGGCCACAAAGGGAATCCAAGTTTTACATTGAAATACATAAGAAAAATATTTTAAAATCTTCTGGAGAACAACTGGGCCAGAAAAACTGAAACTTATGTGGAAGTATCCTCAGATAGTGTAGATTCTAAATTGTTCAAATCATGACCACGGGGGGTATGGCGAAGCTGAAACTTGTGTGGAAGCATCTTTGGGTTGCTTTGATTCTAAATTGTTCATATCATGACCCTCAGGAGTAGGGCAGGGCCACAATATATAGGGAATCCAAGTTTTACATTGAAATATATAGGAAAAATTTATAAAAATCTTCTCAAGAACCACTGGGCCAGAAAATCTGAAAATTATGTGGAAGCATCCTCGGATAGTGTAGATTCTAAATTGTTAAGGAATTATATGGGAAAAATCTTTAAAAATCTTCTCAAGAACCACTGGAACAGAAATGCTGAAACTTGTGTGGAAGCATCCTGGGGTAGTGAAGATTCTAAATTGTTCAAATCATGACTCCCAGGGGTAGGATAGGGCAACAATAGGGAATCCAAGTTTTACATTGAAAAATATAGGAGAAATCTTTAAAAATCTTCTTCTCAAGAACCACTGGGCCAGAAAATCTGAAACTTATGTGGAAGCATCCTCAGATAGTGTAGATTCTAAATTGTTCAAATCATGACCCCGGGGGTAGGGCAGGGCCACAATAGGGAATCCAAGTTTTACTTTGAAATAGGTAAGAAAAATCTTTAAAAATCTTCTTCTCAAAAACCACTTGACCAGAAAAGCTGAAACTTATGTGGAAGCATCCTCAAGTAGAGTAGATTCTAAATTGTTCAAATTATGACCCCCGGGGTAGGGCGGGGCCGCAATAGGTATTACAAGGGGGAAATCATAAAGAACAGCATGGCCAAAGTTACTCAGGTGAGCGATGTGGGCCATGGGCCTCTTGTTTTTCTTCAATTTTTTTAACTGTGAATGTCAGCTCTCTATATAGACTGCTAATCTTCAATGTTATCAAACAGAGAGACTTTATGTTTGGGATTATAAGAATATTTTTTAAAGAGAATTTAAAATAATAGACTCGAGCAAGTCAAGTTGTCATATACCGTATTCCATGGGGCGGGTGTGTCCATACATACTGATAATTTTATTTCCATCAAAGCAACCTCTGAAAAAAATCATAGGTTAAGTTTAGACATGTAAACCATGACTTTGAAATATTTCATCAATATTGTTGTGATTTATGACACATTTAAATTTTTGGGATTTAACTAATTGCTAAAAATATATTTTCATGTATTCCTAATCTTAGTGGAAAATAAAACGATCGGGCTCAAGATCCAAAAGTTTATTTCATAATAAACATTCGGTGCTCGCAGAGGACACACACAACACAGGCACAGCCACAGGCACAGGGAAGGATCCAGAAACAATTTTAAAAATGGCAGAATCTACACAGAAACGACAACAAGCGTACGCAAAGGTAAATGTCGTTTGCAAAACGGATAAATATGCAAAGTTGTTTGAGCGTCTTACCACTACCAGGTCCGGTACAATCCAGTACATTAAAATACGTAGCTAGAATATTACATACGCAGCTTTAGCTACAGTCAAGGGAAATAAGGCTTCTTGAAGCAGCTTGATTTAGCTATTTTAATGCAAGTTTCACAAGTTTGCTTTTTAAAAAAATAGACAAAAAAATTCAAGTACTTTTTAAACAGTTAAAAACAGTCCAGATTGAGCAAAGATAGTTTTGACACTGTACTCTGTAACAGAAAAGGAGAAAATGTATGTCTGGACTGGGAATCGATCCCAGCACCCCTGCATCTCCAGCTCTACTGACTGAGCTTTATATGACCCAGGCTGATATCCACGGCCCAAACCATTGTGTGCTGCGAGGGATGGCTATGAAAAAAAAATATGCTCATTTGAGAAATAAGTAAGGTTTAGTGGCTATATTAAACTTCTTAAAGTAGCTATAAATAGCATTTCCAACAAATGTTTACTGGTCCCTTCTGGTTCTGTGACACTTCAGAATGACAGTGTGCCTCTAGCAACAAGTGATTTTTTATGGTCTTAATTTCAGACCCAGGAGAGCTACTAAAACAGTTGGGAACATTTTGTTGTAGTTATAAAAATGTTAGGGACACAGGGTTAGTAACAGTTTAAGATGGTAGCTTTAAAATATGGAGAAATAATTCTCAACTCATGCAGTTTTTTGTGTGCAATAAATATGTTCTTTTTTGAAAGCAAGGAAATGAATTCAAAGCTCTATGGTAAGTCTAATCAGAGTCCAAAATTGGAGTTATCGGAAGTAAAAAAACTGAGACTAAAAACAGATTCCTAAATAGGAGTCATATTTTTAGGCACAGTTTGCTAAATGGAGCCAGTACTTCAGACATATACCGGTATATATTAGGCTTTCTCATAAGTTCTTTTATAAATGAGGCCCAGTGAGCTACAGATCTGCAGCTGCCTCAGTTCAAGCATATCTTTTGATAGCAACAGATAACAATGAGTTTTCAAATTTCTGTCTCTGTAATAGTTTATATGGAGCTTTCTGAAAACTCTGTTTATTTTAGCAGATTTGAAGTCCAGCAGCTGCACAAAATGGCATTTATTTGACACAAGTTTTGTCAGTGTAAAATTCTCAAATTATGTTTTTATGATTTTAATATTTAAAAAGAACTATATCAATTGTTACAGTTCTTGTTTGACAAAGTTAAGAAAGGTGATATCACACCTGAGGAGATGCAGACAATAAGAGATTTCAAAGTAGAGTTTTCTAAAGGCGTTTTCTTCAGAGGTAAGTTGATATGGAAACTATAGGGCTGCGTATTCGCTTGAGTTTTCATATTATGATATATTGCAATATTTTTAACTTTTGCGATATGTATTGCAATATTTACAACAAAAAATTTAAATTGTATATTCTTATTAACTTCCTTTTACATGTAGAATGTACATATTAACATATGATAAATAACCAGTAAAATAAATCTTTTTGACTGAATTACAGTTATGCAACTAAATACACCCATACAACAACCTTTGTCTTACTGTTTGGCATAGTCGCAAACCTTTCTGACAACTTTTCTTTAAATATTATCATGATTATGGTAGAATTCCTGAGTCCATGCATTTTGCAGGTATATCAGTATTACAAAAACGTAATTGCAATACGATTGTTTTGCCAACATACTACAATATACTAGTAACCTGAATATGGGTATTATTGCCCAGCTTTAATGAATACATATATATTTATTGTCAATTTTTTAACAGTAATAACCATACCAGTGAAATATTGAGTTATATAGAATGTACTTGCATAATGAGCACACAGGCAGACAAAATTTCAAATGCCATATTTAGTTATAAAATTTGTATCCGAACTTGACCTCTATTTACCTGCATATGCAATTTCAACCTTGTACATTCATCCCTACGAAAGTTAGAGAGCAGAAACTAAAATTTCTCATTTTTTCTAAGTTCAAGAGGGATAACTCTGTCAAAAATCATCGGACAATGACCAAGTTCAAACTTGAGCTGTATTTTCTGGTAAAATTCCTGCATGCGCAATTTCAACCGTATAAATATGTACATATATCCCTAAAAAAGTTAGAGAATGTAAACTGAAAATTTCTAGTTCAAGAGGGATAACTCTGTCGAAAATCATCCGACCATGACCAAATTCGAACTTGACCTGTATTTTCTAGTAAAATACCTGCATATGCAATTTCAATGTTATAAAAACGTCTCTATAAAAGTTAGAGAGCGGAAACTGAAAAATTCTTATTTTTTCTAAGTTCAAGAGGGATAACTCTGTCAAAAATCCTCGGACCACATATGCTATATGTTTGAACTTTCTTTGATTGTTCTTGATAGGCACATATTAAGTATTAAGGACTGTAATATGTGCAACATATTTTGCAGCTGTACCCAGCTCCTTTGCCATGTATGCAGTTTATCGATATAGTAAGTTGCTTTTCCTTTTTTGTCATTATGATTTTAAGTATTTAAAATATATACATGCTTGTGTAAAGATAAAAAAATATACATAAAACATGAATTAAATCATATTGTCTGAAATCTAAATTAAATCTAAGTGAATTGTATACTAGACCATAAGAAGCTAGGTATTTTCCATTGTGATAACTTTTTGGAGTACATATTATGATGGCTTTAACTGCCAGATTTGATGATCATACCTTACAAATCATTGTCAATAGAATTTCCAGCGCAAGAGACATTTTTCGTTCTTCTGACACAATGAGTAAGCAGTTATATTTTTAGCTCACCAGAACCGAGACTCAAGTGAGCTTATCTGATCAAAGGGTTTCCAGCTTCCATCTGTTGCCTGTAAACTGACTTTTCACATTTTTGAATTCCTTTCAAGAGCCACTGGGCCAATTTCAACCAAATTTGCCACAAAGCATCCTTGGGTGACCCCCTGGGCATAGGATGGGGCCACAATAGTTGATTAATGTTTAAATAGGTATACATGTACATGTATATAGGAAAAAATATTTTAAATTTTTTCTCTAATGATAAGCAAGGCTTTGATAAGGCTTACTGATATATGCAAGCATTCATAAGTAAATAAATGATAATATTGCTGCTTATATTATGCAGATTCTTGCATTAATGAGAGCCTGACAGTTTAGATTCAAGTTTGTTCAGATCAGTGCCCTTGAGAATAGTTTTAGACTACAGTAGGGGATCAGAGTTTTACAAGGGAGTACATAAAAAGAGTTGCAAGATCACACTAAATCTTATTAATACATGTAAGCAAAACATACATGAAATGTGTAGAGAAGATTCTTTTATAAAATTATGAGCCCTGGGGTTAAAGGTAAGTGGAAATGAGAGATTCAAATTTCACATAATGCATGAAAAACAATCTTCAGTCATCTCAATCATTGATATTGAAGCATCCTAATGTTGTGTTGATTTAACTTTGAATAAATTGTAACTCCTTTAAGTCTAGATTTTGGTCCACAACATGGAGACAAAATATTTATGAAATTTAAGAGGGAATTTAAAAAAAACAAGATGTGTTTGTGAAACACTATGCCCCCGATGGTAACACAATTCTGGAGTGGGACGTAGACTACAGTGCAATAGTTATGGCCAATGTTAAAGTTTTTCAAATGTAGGTCGAAGGTCACAGTTGAGGTCACATGATCAAAAATTTCTGTACCAATGAAAAGGTCTTGTCATAATGAACACTCATGTCAAACATTAAAGCCTTACCCTTGACAGTGCAATAGTTATGGGCTAGGTTAAAGTTGACAACAGACAAACAGACAGACAGGACAAAAACAATATACCCCCTGGATCTTTTGATCTGGGGGCATAAAAATCTGAGGGTCAAAGTGACTCAGGTGAACATTGTTGCCAATGGGCCTCCTGCTTTCTACACAAGCTGACAAAGGAACAAAATAAAAATCAGACAGACAAGAAATAAATGTTAATAACTTCTCTTATTTATTCCTAAAAAAAAGGTACAAATTATATTTGGTTATTCATTGTAAAAAAGAATGTTCACTTTGAAATATTTTGTCAGGATTGTCAGTGTTGAATTTAAGGAAATGTGATTTTTTGGATGATTAGTGGGTTTTTTTTTCAACAACTCAATACTTTGGTATCAATGACAGTAATAGCAAAAGCTTTTTTACTTTGATCTTTAGGGAGTAAAGGAGGAATAGTTGGACTTGGAAAATGTATCTGTAAGTATGATTGTAATTGTTGTTAGTTGTACATGTATGTAGCATTTTGATTTTTGAATATTATTGGATTTTTTTCCAGAGTAGAGAAAAGTGTGTAATTTTCATTGTAGTTTGTGCAGTTGGTGGACTCTTCTTAGGATTTGCTTTCACACCTACCCAAAAACTTTGGTCCCAGCAGTTGGAGAGGCACAACATTACAAGGCAGCATGTACTGGGCAAAATAGACATGATGCAGAAGAAAAACTTGTAAGTAGTTGTATGGCATTGTATGAGTTCAAGTTTAAATAAGAATCATCTTAACACTCAGTATGGCTGCAACCATATGAAATAATCAGGTATGCTTTCATAGACTAAGAATTCTACTGCCAGAAACTGATGACTTTTTAGCTCACCTGAGCTGAAAGCTCAAGTGAGCTTTTCTGATCACCCATTGTCTGTCGTCCGTCCGTCCGTCTGTAAACTTTTCACATTTTCAACTTCTTCTCAAGAACCACTGGGCCAATTTTAAACAAACTTGGTACAAAGCATCCTTGGGTGAAGGGGAATTTAAATTAAAATGAAGGACCAAGTCCCCTTCAAAAGGGAGATAATCAAGAAAAGACAGAAATTGGGTTGGGGTCATTAAAAAATCTTCTTCTCAAGAACCACTGGGCCAGAAAGGCTGAAACTTATGTGGAAGCATCCTGGGATAATGTAGATTTTAAATTTTTCAAATCATGACCCCTGGGGGTAGGTCAGGCCACAAAAGGGAATCCAAGTTTTACATTGAAATATGTAGTAAAAATCTTTAAAATCTTCTTCTCAAGAACCACTGGGCCAGAAAAGCTGAAACTTATGTTGAAGCATCCTGGGGTAATGTAGATTATAAATTGTTCAAATCATGACCCCCAGGGGTAGGGTGGGGTCACTATAGGGAATCCAAGTTTTACATTGAAATATGTAGTAAAAATCTTTAAAAATTTTCTTCTCCAGAAACACTGGGCCAGAAAAGCTGAAACTAATGTGGAAGCATCCTGGGGTAGTGTAGATTCTAAATTGTTCAAATCATGACCGGGGGAGGGGGGGTGCAATAAGAAATCCAAGTTTTACATTGAAATATGTAGTAAAAATCTTCTTCTCTAGAACCAATGGGCCAGGAAAGCTGAAACTTATGTGGAAACATCCTGGGGTAGTGTAGATTCTACATTATTCAAATCATGACGCCAGGGGGAAGGCGGGGCCACAATAGGGAATCCAAGTTTTACATTGAAATATGCAGAAAAAAAATCTTTAAAAACCTTCTTCTCAAGAACCACTGGGCCAGAAAAGCTGAAACTTATGTGGAAGCATCCTGGGGTAGTGTAGATTCTAAATTGTTCAAATCATGACCCCTAGGGGTAGGGTGGGGCCACAATAAGTACTACAAGGGGGGGGGGACCAGGTGAAAAACAGCAAGGCCAAAGTTACTCAGCTTTTCTGATCAAAATTTGTCCGTTGTCTGTCGTTGGCGTGTGTAAACTTTTCACATTTTCATCTTCTTCTCCAGAACTACTGGGCCAATTTCAACCAAACTTGGCACAGAGTATCCTTGGGTGAAGGGGATTCAAATTTGTTCAAATGAAGGGCCACGCCTTCTTCCAAGGGGAGATAATTGTGTATTCATGAAAAATTTATGGCATTTTTCAAAAATCTTCTTCTCAAGAACCACTGTGTTAGAAAATATGAAACTTATGTGGAAGCATCCTCAGGCAGTGTAGATTCAAATTTGTTCAAATCATGACCCCCAGGGGTAGGGTGGGGCCACAGTGGGTGATCAAAGTTTTACACAGGAATATATAGGAGAAATCTTAAAAAATCTTCTCAAGAACAGCAAGGCCATGATTGGTCATATTTATTTAGAAGCATCCTCAGATAGTATAGATTTAAGTTTGATCAAATTATGACCCTCAGGGGTAGGTAGGGGCCACAAAGAAAGTTTAAACTTGTAGGAAAAAAGACAGTCAAAAAAATATGTAAGCATCCTTAGTTAGTGTAGATTCAATTTTAATCAAATCATACCCCCTCCCTTTTAGGGGTAAGTCGGGACCACTTATGCATTTAAGCATTACAATGCTAAATTGATTTTTGCTTTTTTCTTAGCCACCGTGCTCAGGTGAGCAATGTGGCCCCTGGGCCTCTTGTTACAATGTTAAATCATGGTTCTTCAAATTTTTCTGGACAATTTTATGAAAATCATGAGTGATGACACAAAATTTATACAATAATTCTATCTACTTATTTTTAATTTCAAAAATGCTATTTCAAGGGTACATGTAACTTAAAAGTATAATCTGTTTAATTTAGTATAAATGTGCAATTTTGGGCAACATTTCGATAAATTTTGATGCACATGAACACTATATAAAAGGATACATACAATGTATATCTGTATCAATTTCATATTTTTCTGTGTTGTCATAGTTATTAAAATTTGAATATTTAATATACTCTTGAATTTTTTTGAATTGGTACTCCTCCTACAGTTTTGATATGATTTCGTGAAAACTTGATACGCTTGTAGACTACATCGACATAAATCTAGACAACTGGATTAGTAGGGATGTAATAATACATTCATGTAATGCAGAGGGTAAGATACATGTATAATACAGCAATACAGAAAATGAAGTATTGATACTTTTTGGAAGTAAATAATGTGCACATTTTAGTTTTAAAATTGGAGTTTTTGTGTAAACATCTGATGGTACTTGTTAATTATCCCATGGAATATGAATTATAGTTTAGTTTAGAAAAGGTTTTATCTTTATTTTATTTTAATTTTGTTCTTAGCTTCAATGTATCGGTATTTGAGAGACTATTAGAGTCAGTTTGTTGAAAAAAAAGAGCTGAAATCTACATTTTCCTCTCTAAAAAATCAAAAAAATAGTTGTAACACTTGATATATCACGATTTCTGAAATTTTGTGATGCATCGTGATATTCTTTTTCCTAACGATACACAGCCGTAATTTTTAGTACATCTGTGACACTCAGGTGACCCATTCTTTTTGGCTCCCATTCATTGATTTGTGTGTCATTCATAAACTTTAATTAGAACATTTTCATCCTTTTCTCTGAAATAACTCTGAAATACAAGATATAAATGCTCATATCTATATCTATGCGTATCAGCTCATTTCTAGTAACAACTGAATTCATAAATTTTAATTAGAACACTTTCCTCTTCTCTGAAATAGCTCTGAAATAGGAGATATAAATGCTCATATCTATATCTATGCGTATCAGCTCATTTCTAGTAATAACTGAATTCATAAATTTTAATTAGAACATTTTCCTCTTCTCTGAAATAGCTCTGAAATAGGAGATATAAATGCTCATATCTATATCTATGCGTATCAGCTCATTTCTAGTAATAACTGAATTCATAAATTTTAATTAGAACATTTTCCTCTTCTCTGAAATAGCTCTGAAATAGGAGATATAAATGCTCATATCTATATCTATGCGTATCAGCTCATTTCTAGTAATAACTGAATTCATAAATTTTAATTAGAACATTTTCCTCTTCTCTGAAATAGCTCTGAAATAGGAGATATAAATGCTCAAATTTATGCATACCAGATCATTTCCAGTAACAACTGAATGAAAATTTTCATTAAATAGGTCAGAATTCAATGAAATGATGGAGCAGGATTGGGAGCATATTCCAGCAGATAAAATAGAGACTCCGAAAATACCCAAATTTGTAGAAAGGATGGAAACAAAGACAGATGTTGAGAATGACACTCAGACAAACCAAGGTTCAACATTTTTATTTGGGGCTTCAAATCAAGGTATATAAAATATTTTTTAAGTATATTTTGAGTTGGGACCCTTGAAAGTAAAGCTATTTTGATATACATTTTGTTGAAGATTTGAAAAATTATTTTTTTATTATAAGATTGGGAGTACTTTCCTGTAATGTACCATTCTGTAAATTACCGGTAGTGGTACTTTGAAGAATTTTTTTTTCTTCATTTTTTTAGAAACTGATCAATTGGCCAATGAAGAGGAAGGATTAATGGAAAAAAGAATGAAAAGAAACAGAAGGAAAATGAAAGAAGGTTTGTCCATCAAATTAATAGTTAGGTTAAAGGGCTTCAAAATGCAGTATTGATTGACACCAGTTTGATTTTAAATTGGAAAAAAAAACATGGAACATATCTTGCACCTTAGAGTTTAAAAGCTTACATTTAAATTTCCTGATGATTTAACAGAGAGTTTTTTGGAGAGGGTCCATTCCCCAGTTATTATAAGCCTTATCTGGACCAAGCTTGCATGGATGATGTATTTAAGGATGCATACTACCAGACATGCTTCAGATGCTTGGTATGACTTATATTTTCCAGTTGAGTAAATAGGCTTAAGTTTTTGGAGCAGGTCCCAAAGTTGCAATGATGAGGCGTATAGGGATGCTTAATACCAGAACTTGCTTTAGATGGTCAATTTGATCCACATTTTCCAGATGACTGAACAGGTTAGTTAGTGGGGGGAAAAATAGGAAAAAATATAATTATAAAAATACAAGGATTTATTCAAGGAGACTGTACATTTATTAAACATAGTGACTAAGATAATAATATCAAGTGGGTAAAAAATCTGTTATCAAAGAAACATTTTTAAATTTTAAAATTACAGTAATTGTTCACATTAATTTTTTTCATACCCCACTCAACAAGCTGTGGAGGGTATAATGTTTTTGACCTGTCCATCAGTCTGTCAGTCATGTTCTTGTCAATGCAACTCCTCTGAAATCGCTGAACAGAATTTCTTGAAACTTTGTTGTTAATAGGACATAATGTGTAGATGTGCATGTTAACAGGAAATTCTTATTTGATTTCTCTCACAAATGTCGATAAAAAGAAAGGGGTAATCTCATTCTTTCAACCCCACCCTTAAATACTTTAAACTGGAAATTTGCTGACTGGGTCATATCTAATTTTTAGGGTAAATATGATAGCATACTGCAGCATTGTTTATTCTCAAAGAAGTAGGTATGGTGAGCATTGAATTTTGCCCCAAAATTTTAAGATAATTTCAGGAGTTTATGATTTATCCTAAAAAAAATATAAAATATGAAGACTACAAAATAGAGCTGTTTAACTAATCATTGCTACAATTTTTACTATGATGTCACAAACAAAACAGTTTTTCCTAGTTTTAGACTCAAAAAGGATTCCCTATTGTACCTTGTACTTTCAAATTGATAATTTTTCAAAACATTATATAAGCCAGGTGAGCATTGTGGCCATCAAGTCTCTTACATGTTTTATTTCTTTTTCCACAGAGTCAAATACATCAGAAGGAATATCAAATTCAGGTAAAAGCTTTGAATGATTCATCATTTAATACATGTAATGATAAACTTTACACATTCATCAAAAAGATGTATGTCTTTACTATTTCACTGAACAGAATGTATAAAAAGTATGTGATTTATTATTCTATAACAAACATTACAATCAATATACATTTTTGAATTTCTTTTTTTCTGCTGCAGGAAAAAGAGTCAACAAATATGGAGATGTTATTGAATAATATTTTGTGCTTTTGAAATAAACTTATGTCTTACAATACATAGTTATCAAAATGATAAAATGATCGCTGATACCCTCTATTATCATTTAGTCCTAATGACTGAGCACATTTCGTCCTTGACAAAAGTATACAGGAGTTCATTGAAGATTTGAGTGCATAGTGTTTTATAAGACATAAAAAAATGTATGATAACTACGGTATTTCTCTATTGTAATAGTTCTTTTATGTATGTTTAAAAGCTTGTTCAAAAGTCAACTAAATAGATAATAATTCATAAATAAAAATACTGTTAAGTAAGAAAATGTTGCATATGTAAATCAATTATGCAAACTTTGCATTAATATAAAACAATTTTGACTTGTTTTAAAGCCGTTTTAGTACAGTTTTTCATTGTAACCATTGATGGGGCAAAAGGGCAAACATAAAGATGGGAGCTAAATGAACATTTGTTTTGTTTTGTTTTTTGTTTTGGTTTTTTGTTTGTTTTTTTTAATGCAGATAAGAGTACTTTGCATTTATTTTAAAGGAAGGGGGGGGGGGCACTTTTCATGAGCAAGCAATTAGAATTTAATTTCACTGGTTCATGCAGATTAATTTTGTGAGTGACTTGAATATACAGAGGATTCAACAAAAGGATATTTGACAAGGTAATTGTTAGTTGGGATGTAAATTTGTGGGTATAAGGGTGTATGACTCACAAAACCCGTGGACATTAACATCCCCCACCCCCCACCCCCCACCCCAAAAAAAATTCCACAGTAGCTTGTTATTTTTCTGCTATGTCGATTATGAGAAATTACATGAATTGTAAAAACTATATGGAAATATTTAAAATACTTTTATCATTTTTATACCCCACGCAACAAGTTGCGTCAAACTTTGCAGATATTTAGGACACAATGTGTAGATGTGCATATTACCAGGAAATTCCGATTCCATTATTTTTCTAGGAATTTAGGCACTTTTCAACTTAGATTTTTGCCCATATCTTGAATATAGAGATGAACAGATTGTCAGCGCAACTCCTCTTAAACCGCTGCACAGAATATATGGTCAAACTTTTCAGATATTTAGTACACAGTATGTACGTGTGCATATTACCAGGAAATTCCGATTCCATTATTTTTGCCCAAAGAGTTTTGCCTATTATTGAAGAAACTTTCCAGCTAGGTAATAAGGAAATCTATTGGAATCAGCTTTTGTAATGAAATTTTATGTGAAATATTTTATGACCTCAAAAAACCCCTATTGATTTTGAGATCAAAATATTAATAATTTAACACACATACACACACGCAAAATCTTGGATAGTTCTTACCCCCACCCCCCTCAAATTGGTGCTTTGCCTTAAATAATTTCGTAAGTACAGTATGTAAACTAATTCATATGACTACATCATAATTTTGTTTCCATCAATTATTTAAATGTGTAAATTGTCATGTGCTGGGCATGGACTTGCACTCGTTAACAAATCGAAATCACTGAGGAATTTAAATAACAATTTGTCAGCATAACTCCTGCACTGAATTTTCTAAAACTTTGTAGGTATTTCAGACATAATGTATAGATTTGTATATTACCAAGAAATTTTAATTCCATTATTCATCTAGAAACTTAAGCCCAATTAAATTTGTAACATACAAAGATTTGAATGTCCTTGTATGCACGAAGTTTTGATGTGATGATTCTTTGCAAGTAATGCCCCTTTCTGAATTATATTGTGTATTTAAAATGCACTGTGCCATTCATTACGTGTTGCATTGTCGAGTTTTGGGGGAGTGTGGGGTATATGAGCTTGCTCACTTTTTCTTTCATTCAAACAGATACATATAAACATTTTTGGGGGGAGGGGGTTGTCATTGGCAGCCACACTTTGTGATAGCTGCAGAACTGTAGTGTTATGATTTATATTTTAGACTTTGACCATAACGCCACAGATCCCGTAATGCAAATATGGTGCAATTTGCGGCGCAAAATTTTCTGCGCACGGTTGGCGAGAATTTCTCCACTTTCCAGCATTGGTCAATCAACTACCTACCTTTCACTCCTTAATTCCAGACATATTCTCTAACCAAATGTATATTTTATCTACCTCCTAACCCTTTATAGTCATAAATACAGACCAATACACTCGTTTGTTTTAAACTTTCTGCCATCCGACAAAAAAATCAAAACAAGCGAGTTTATTGGTCTGTAGAGACGACTATAAAGGGTTAGGAGGTAGATAAAATATACCGGTAAGTTATCGAATGTGTCTAGAATTAGGGAGTAAAAGATAGTTGATAGACCAACGCTGGAAAGTGGAGAAATTCTCCCTAACCGTGCACAGAAAATCTTTTGCCGTAAATTGCACAATACTTGCATTACGGGGCCTATAGCGTTATGGTCAAAATCTAAAATATAAATCATAACGCCACAGTTCTGCAGCTAATTTTGTTGCTGATATTGAATTTTCCATTTGCATATCACTTCAGGGCTAGTTGCACCTGCTAACAAAGTATATAACGTTTATGTTAAACAACACATGTTCAAAGTGAAATTCTCTTTCTCTTTTAATGATAACACTGATTTTGGTTTGAAATGTTTTTGACACTCACTCACTCTGACTTTTACATAAGAGAGAACCAAAACTTCTTAATTTTTTATTAGAAAATCAAATAGTCCTACAAGTTTAGTTCACCTGAGCCAAGGGTTCGATTGAGATTTGATCAAAATTTTGTCCATTATCGCCATTGTTATCGATATAAACTTTTCACATTTCGTCTGCATAACTATATATTTGAACCAATTTCAACTATACTTGGCACAGAGTATCCTTGGATTAAGGGGATTCAGATTTAAATTGTTGAATGAAAAACAATGTAAACTAATACACTAATAGTGGCCCAGATCCTTCAGATATTAGGATTCTAAAAGAGCCTTGAAGGTAAAATAGAACAAGGTAATAAAATATTTGAATGGATTTGGATATTTCTGGAAGATACAGGGGGAAATAGTTGACAAACTTGTGTTTTTTTTAATTTACTATGACCTTATACCACAAATGACATGAATAACAATGGAAGAATGCATTTAATGATTTGGATCATTGGCTGAGCTTTTTTCCCTCAAGTCTAAAGGCTTTTAATTTTACCTTCCAGCTGTTACGTACTAGCTAGCTACTTGTACACATTTATGAATATTGGTTATATTTATTTTCTGTTAATAAATTAATGCTACAGTAAAACACAGATCTGCTTTTTGCCTTATAATCTCACATAAGTTGGGGGATGTTTGAGACTCCCACAAGAGTATGCAATGGTTTGGGCCATGGACATCGGACTGGGTAACAGTTGGTATCTAGAGCACTTGATTTGTGATGCAAGGATCCCGGATTCAATTCCCAGCTCAGGCATACATCTTCTCCTTTTCTGTTACATACTTTAATTGATATGAAAATTATTAATTTGTTATAACTTATATACAAAGTAGTAATTTTAAAATAAAATTATTAATTTGTTAAAACAAATTGCTAATTTGTTAAAACAAATTATTAAAAGATACTGCATTTGTTATAACAAATTATCAACTTGTTTTAAGAATTATTAATTTGTTATAGCTAATTGATAATTTGTTAAAAGATACTGATGTGGCCCTAACACCCTTCCGTAGTTTTTTGTATGAGATTTATAATTAAACTTTCTTTCGAACGTTGGAGCTATATTATATGGCGTTTCTGAGCTAAAAAAATAATAATACGAGATTGAATGTAGATGAACAAATACATGATATTTGTTATTTACGTTCAAATTAACATTTTCCCCGATTTTGAACTTGAATATCCCCACGTTTCTATCATATTAAATTGACTTTAAATTTAACTGTGTCTGATATTTATTTAAATGCGGAGTCGGTAAATACATCGGTTATTAGTTCCCTACCGGTGAAACCGGAGGGGACTATAGGTTTCCTCTGAGTCCGTCCGTCTGTCCAGCTGTCTGTCCGTCCGTCTGTCCCTCTTTCTGTCTGACAGTTTGTCCCACTTGGTTTTCCGCACTTTTTCCTAAACGCTTGCAGATATTGAGCTGAGTTACAGATTAAGTTTGCTTTTCGTTCCGTTTCATTGATTTTTGACGAAATTACGACCTCTTCAATTTTTAAGGGTTTTCCGCAATTTTTTTCTAAACGCTTGCAGATATTGAGCTGATTTTTGGTATGTGACTTTACCTTGATTACTTATAGATCAAGTTTGCATTTCGTTCCGCTTCAATGATTTTTGACGGAATTATGGCATTTTCAATTTTTAACGGGAACCAGATTACACTTGCCGGTAGGGGACTAGTAATGCAATACTCTCAGAATGCTTGTTGATTTAAATTTCTAATATCTATGAAACGCGATTGATTTAAATTGTGTAACTTACAGGAAAGTCCTATTTTTATATAAAGTAATAAAACAAATAGAAAGATCTTTTAAATTTTAGATAGTCTGAACTTATCAAAAATACGCCAAATATGACTTTAACTTAAAGGTTTATAGGTCATGAGGTTACTTTCCAGAACTGTCAAGTAGTTTGCAAAAAACAAAAACAAAAACAAACAAACAAACAAAACAAAAAACATATGGTTGGTAAAAATTTCCAGTCGGGTTCGGTATTCTCCAGCTCAACTTTCAATGTCAAAATGGCTCCCAACTTTCCTAAGTTGGAATGGGGCTACGATTTTGCAGATTCTATTCGGGTTATCTGCGGTTTAGTACCAAAAAAGACACCGAATGTTCCTAAATTTGATCCATGGGATGTTAAAACATATAAAGTTGAAGATTGCATTCAGGAACTACAAGATTATCAAAAGAAACTAGCAGAAAAGGGACTAAAGGATCATTGGATTAGGTAATATTTAATTTAATATTAGATGCGGTGTTATATCCCCTACTACTCAAACTCCGTCACCGTAAGCGGAAAACACATTGCATTACTCTTTTAATTATTCTTTCTATTTATTTCGTGTTTGCTACATTTAGTAATGAACTTAAGCATTGTTTTTATTACTATAATTAAAAAAAAAATGGAGTTACTGGGCTTATATCAGGTCTGGTACAATCATTAGATTTAGCTACGTAGCTTAAATTACCTACATAGCTTTATTTACCTACCTGAAGTAGCTTTATTTAGCTACTAAATCAAACTTATTTCTTAAATAAGCATTTTTCCCAGAAAGTGCAGAAAATTGCACTTTGAAGCAGTGATAATTTTCAACTTTGAACTCAGCTGAAAACAATTCATGAATAAATCACTCTTGGAGATGTGTCTTTTTCTGCGCAATTTCAATCAAAGTTCTAAAAGTTTTGGGGCTATATACAACAGTTAATTTGTGACCAAACAGTTACTTCTTGAATGAAATAACAAAGAAAACCAGTTCTGGTTAACATGAGCACAATGAGAAGCAATCATACTTGTCCACACCTCATCGCACACAAGTTGGTGTACAGTTATTCAAACAATGGGAATACATCTTTTCCTTAGAAGTGTTCAAACGCAGCAATATTAAAACTTTCTCTGCTTTGGATTGCTCTTTAAATATCCTCTAGTGTAAATATAAGTAGTCATTTATTTGCGATTTTTTGTCTTTTTAAAATGAGAAACAAAATTGTGAAAAATTGCCTTTAAATAGCTAAATAAAGCTACCTGAGGTAGGTAAATAAAGCTGCGGTAGGTTATTTTAGCTACGTAGCTAAATGTACTGATTGTACTGGACCTGTATATAAAACCACTAAATAGAACGCATATCACATCTGTGTACATTACGTTCAATGAATCCTAAGTCCGTCACCAGGGCCCACTACAATTTGTCAGCATTTTAATTAGCTGCACTGTAGCTCTCTGCTAAAAAAATTCTGACAGACAAAGCAGAGAGCTACAGATCCAAGTGTTGTAAAAACCTTCGATTTACACCACCGCTTTTTTGTCACTCGCTTCAGGTATTATTTCTTGTATTTTTTGCTTTCCCCTGCTTTAAAAAATAATATCCGATAATTAACCATATATTTTACTCCTATTCCGATACTTTATTTACCTTTCAACGGTTCCAGATGGCTGTATGTGGTTTTGGAATACATGTATCAGTTTCAAAAAATGCATTCAGACGTGGCGACGTCGACGTTGGTGTCATCCAATAATACGCCTGAAATAACACGCCCGAATTTATTTATCTCTTTTTACATATTGTATTCTTTGTAGACAGTATCTTCATGACATTTGAATCTCCTGAATTTTTTATTTACATTTTCTTGGCAAGTATATGTTTTTTGAAAGACTTTTTTTTGCATGACCCCCAACATGGACATCGGAATGGTAATTTTTTAAACCGACATTCCAAAACCATTAAGGTCTGTTTGAGACCATTGAAAGGTAAATAAGGTATCAAGAATAGAAGTAAAATATATGGTTAATTATCGTATACTGTTTTTAAAGCGGGGGAAAGCATAAAATACAAGAAATAATACCCGAAGCGAGTGACAAAAAAGCGGCGGCGTAAATCGAAGGTTTTTACAATGCTTGGATCTGTAGCTCTCTTCTTTGTCTGTCCAAATTTTCTCAAGCAGAGAGCTACAGTTCTGCAGCTACATTTTAATAGAAATTTGTCGCCTGCTTAGTTTTTTTGTCCCTTTTCCTTAAACTTGTAAACACAAAAAAATAGTTTTTAAGATTTAAAATATTGTTAAATTATATTTTGAGAAACGTGTCAACAACAGAAAAAAAATATTGTTAATATAATGTATTTTATATGTAATAACGTCGCGCTGATGTTATCTCCTGTATAGCTGCTGAGCTGAAGCATTATGGTTTTATATATTAGTCTTTGACAAGAGCGCTACAGATCCAGTAATGTAAATAAAGTGCAATTTATGGCACGAGATTTTCTGTACTCTTTGGGGATGAATTTCGCCACTTTCCAGCATTGGTCAATCAACGATCTTTCATCCCCTAATTCTAGACATATTCTATAACCAACCTGTATATTTTATCCACGTCCCTTGAAAATAGTATTACTTAGTTCTGAGTTAGCATAATGTTTTATAAGAGGGAAAGAGGGAGTCAGCTTCTAATCATAGTACTGTTAGGACTGGATACCATCTAGAGTTTACAAATCAGGTTGATTGTATTGAAATTTAATGGAACAGAAAGTTGAGAGGGATTATGAATTGGTTCAGAATCCTGTTATTTATTTGGTTTTACAAACATAATTTTTTTTCTTCACATATTTTTGAGATCTGTTAGAGTTGGATCATATATATACCGGTAGTTTTTATATGAAAGCACTATTGAATGTATTGTTTGAAAACTGAACCCCTTATTTTACAGATTTGAGGCATCTCAATACCACAAAGACATTCATATCAACAAGAACTTCACAAGATGGCAAATGTTTGGCAGAATGTTGATTCCTGGAATCATTGTAGGGAGTATTCTGGCATACCTGAAAATAAATTACTTCACCTATCATGATTATGAAGGAAGAGAGGAGAGATTTAAACACCATTGATTATATTATTGCTGTAACACACAGAGCTGACTGCTAATTGACACCTATTTTGTGACTTGGTTAATAAAAAGAAAATGTTATGTCAACTGATTTAGATTTTATTTTTGTCTTCAGTGCTCAAATATTTTAATAGGTCATCTGATCCAAAGGCTCAAGTGAGCTTTTCAGATTGAAATTTGTCCACTTTTTATGTTGGTGGTGTTGTAAACTTTTCACATTTTCATCTTCTCCAGAGCCACAGGGCCAATTTCAACCAAACTTGGCACAATGCATTCTTGGGTAAACAGGAATCAAGTTTGATCAAATGAAGGGTCCCCACTTTTGAGGGGAAATAATAAAGAACTGATGAAAAATTAATTACATTTTCAAAAAACTTAGGAACCACTGGACCTAAAATGATGAAACTTATGTGAAAGCTTCATTACATAGTGTAGATTCAAGTTTCTTCAAATTATGACACCCAGGGGCAGAATGGACCAAAATGGCTGATCAAAGTTTGAAATGGGAATCTATAGGAAAAATCTTTTAAAAATTCCTTCTTAAGAACAGCAAAGCTATGATCAGTCATACTTAATACAGGGTTATTTTCGCCCCATGTTATTTTAGCACTTTCACACTTACAAATAATTTGCCCCGTTTTTGCCCAATTACAGTTCTGTTTAGGAAACTATACTGTGTTTTTTTTAATTTGCCCACCTGTGAGTAGGGCGAAAGGGGCAAAAATAAAACAGGGGCAAAAATTTCCCTGTATACAGTATTGCTATGGAAGCATCCTCAAGTAGTGTAGATGTAAATTTGTCCAAATCATGATCCCTGGGGGTAAGGTGGGGTCACGAAGGGTGATCAAAATTTTTACATAGGAATATAGGGAAAATTCTCAAAATCAGTAAAGCCATGATCAGTCATGGCAGCATTCACAGGAAGTGTAGATTCAAGTTTGTCCAAATCATGACCCCTGGGAGTAGGATGGGGCCACGATAAGTGATCACATATAAGAAAATTCTTTAAAAATCTCAAGAACAGGAAAGTAACGATTAATCGTACTGATTTGGTAGCATCTTCAGGTAGTATAGATTCAAATTTATTAAAATGATGACCCTTGGGAGTAGGGTGGGGCCTCAAGTGACTCTGGTGAGCATTATGGTCAAATAGCCTTATGATCTTTATGTGAAATGCTAATGACAGTTGAATAAAGCAGCCAATTCAAATGGATAAAAATAGACATGATATTAAAACCCAGGAATATCATCATTTTTCTAGTAAAAATTTTTAACCCATGGCATTTATAATACTGTAGATTCCTAAGTATACATGTAAGCATGAAAATAATTATCGCGTAATTTCGCGAGAAGCACCAATCGCAAAATAAAATTATTTGTTTTTATTTTTATGGTGCTGAAATCCATATAAAACCTTGATTAACATTCAACTCGCGATTTATTGTACTTCCAATAAAACGTTTAAGAACCATTTCGCGTTAATAAGTACTCGCGTAAAATAAGGAATCTACAGTATGCATAGTCTTTTTCTGGTCAAATATACGGAGGTCCACACCAGAGGAGCTTTATGCCTTGGTTAAATAACGGCTTTTAATCTTGTCTGTTCATCAAGTGAGTTTTTCTGATCACTTGTCTGTCTGTCCATCCATTTGTTAACTTTAAGCTCACTTTAGCCGTATCTTGCAAAGTTTATCACAGATTTCCTCAAGGATTGGGGTGGGGCAACATTATGGTGTCGGAGTTTTAAAAGTGAATTTGTAAAAACAAATCTTTTTTAGAGCAGCAGAGCCTCACTAATCATATATATACAGACATTCCAAAGTTATATTGTATTAACCTCTTCTTTTTTCAATCATGGTCCCTGGGTTTAAGGTGGGGCTGAAATTTGTTATCCAATTTTTACATAATATCTGTATACAGGGGGAAAAAATTTTCATATTTAAATTTAATGCCATATTTATATAGAGACATTCGAATTTTTGGATTCAAGTTTGGATATACGATACTAAGTATCCTCTTGAGGATAGGTTAAGGCCACAATATAAGGTCAAATTGTTTTTATGGGAAGAAAAAGAGGGAAAAAACATTTAAGGGCCAATGTGAATCAGGTGAGCATTGTAGCCCATGGGCTTCTTGTTCAGCATACATCAAGATGTTAGATTTAATTTAAGGACCCTGTATATACTAGAGGAAAGGATTTTTTGGAACCTAATGGCTATTATAGTGTGGAAAGGTGTAAATATTGAGTTCATTCATTACATTTTCAACACAGGATACCTCGCATTTACCCCCATGAAAAATGTTTTAAAAAAATGAAGTGCTGATGACAAGAAATCACTATTGTTACTCAAGTGGGCAAAGTAACTGCAAATGAAATGTTCAATCTATTCATCTTGGCCAATTAAAATGTTACGAGTGCTGATTTGATCACAAATTAAGTAATAAACTGTACATTTCAATTTATTTTATTCTTGATAAAAGGGTAGATTACACTATCTTCATAAAAAGAACTCTTTAGCGAGCTCTTGAATGAATGAAAAAAAAACTTTGACTAACAGTTTAACTACTGTTTCTAAAAGTTCCCTCATTGCAGCGGGTGTGAATTTGGAACTTTATATGTATGAGATATGAACTGTTTCTCCGTTAAAAATTCATGGACCTGACATGGATTTGAAACTTTCTTGCCAGTGAACTCGAACTTCCAGGAATGACTGTGTAAAGATCATGAATACCCTGTCAAGTACGAGCTTCCAGTGTATCTCTGTACAACGTTATGGTCCAGACACCATAGCACGGACAGGTATACAGCTAAACAGACGGACGGACGGTGTCATGGACAAGGTTATTCCTAGCTATATGCCTACCCAATCTTCCTATCAATTTGCCCCTCGATGTTAAATAATACCTTCCGACGTCCCTGTATTAGTGACAGAATTAAGAATCTGTTGTTACATGTTTGAATAATTTCTAGCTCTCTGAACCGCTGAGATCCAACATTGTAGAAATCATACATGTCGTGTTCACCTGCACGAGACCTTCCAGGTGAACATGACATTCATTTTTTTCTACATTGGACTAAAAGCTTCCAAATTGATATATTTTGTTGTGAAAAGTTATGTTCACCTACAACCATCTTCCTGGTGAACGTAACATTTATTTCGCTTCTATTACTGCTTTGTCTAAAACTTCAACAATTGTAAACAATCAAGAAAGATGGCAAGGGCTGTTGAACGAGTTTTGGGTCGGTAAATATTGTACTTCTCAGGTGACTAAATCATGGTATCGACTAGCTGCAGAACTGTAGCGTTATGGTTTTATATTTTAGTCTTAAGATAACCATGGTCAAAGACTAAAATATAAAACCATAAGGTTACAGTTCCGCAGCTAGGTATCAACTGGAAAAAAAACCCAAGCAGTTATTGCTTAAAAATTTTCAACAGAAACTGTTGTGTTAAGGTACATGTATATTTGTAGTGAATTTTCTGCGAGATGATAAGGCAGAGTATTGAGCAGTAACGAAGTGTCTTCACACGCACACTAGAGGGAATGAATCCCAAGAAAATTGATAACGATATAATTCAAAATAGACATTTTAACCAATGTGTACTGATAAAATTTATATATAAAACAGTTTTAAATCTCTCAATTCATTTAGAAATGTAAATTTATTAAGTGTGTTAGTAGCATAACGTTTATGATGTGTTTATGGGTCATGGATAAATTAACCCAATGAGGATTTTCCAAGGAACAAAGGTTAATGAAATTATTTTGGTAGTTTCATTGACATTTATTGGGATGAATTTATCATGCATTTTGTATTAAAGAGGTAATGGGGCGCTAAATGTGATAATTCCACGATCTATTGACTGTCAACAACGCAATGATAACAGATGTGATAATAACTTCAGTATAAAACTATTAACATTTCTTTATTGGGATAGTCTTTAGAAATATCGCAAAAATGAAGTCCAATCTTCCCGTTTACATTGGTATCTCAAATCATACCAATACATCAACACGTGATATTTACTCATTTGAGAATGAAAACTTCGCTCAATATACATTAGTCTTTTCTGACATCATTGGTTTCTTCGTCGTGTTGTTAAACTGCGGAGTGATATCAATGACGATTTACAGTAAATGTATCCTAAAGGATCCACGTTTTCTGTATCATCTGTGTTACTCCTCTGCTGATTTGCTTGTAGGTATATCCTTACTAGTGCAATGTTCGATACGTCATCTAAATCTTCATGATATGCACGTCGGAGAGAGATTGGTAGTGTCTTCTGAGTACGTGTTCTTTGCGTCGATTAACATTTCCTACTTCATGTTGGTTCTGATTTCTTTCATTCAGTTCCACGCCGTGTGGTTCCCAGTAAAACATAACAAAACCGTCTCCATGTCCTTCGTTGTGACATCATGCATGGCGACGTGGATGTCCGTTATTGTTCTAAGCTTTGCCTTGACGTTGCCCCACAAATGGTCTCTTATCAAGGACACCTTTTGGATTATCAGTTGGAGGGTGCATTTCCAATATCTTTTCAGCAACGAGAAGCAAATCATGGCAATTGCCTTTTGGTTACAGTTACTTTTGCTTGTGACCGTCAATACCTTGTCAGTGCTGAAAGCAGTAGAAAGGCGCGAGAGACACACTTGGAGCACCTTAACAAGAGGAAACTCGTGCATTAGCTCTCGTCCATCCAATACCTCCAGTGTAACTACCTATTGGCGTCGTTTGAAGAAAATAAGCACGTCTGTTGCACCAATGTTCATCGGTCGTATTTCGCTAACGGAGGAAAATAGGATGTCTGTTAAAAACAAAAGCAGTAGCACCAGCGAAACCGAGATGATTCAAAAGCAGAGCCACAACATCTATGTGGTTGAGGGCTCTCCAAGGTCCAGGGCAAAGTCTTTTGTCAAAGTAAGGTCTTCGTCACTCTGTAGCCTTTCTTCGGAGTGTAAAAAGGAAACTGAATCAAAGTCGCCGAAAAAGTACTTATCAAGAGCCGATTGGCCACGGAAATCCAATAATTACTTAGAGGAATTAAAACCCACACAGTTAAAAACAAGTAGTTTGATGATGCCTAAACT